TGCCAACGTCACGGACGGCGAGGCGGGCCCGTCGCCCAAAACGATTTTCGAATACTTGAAGATTTTGAAGACACGCAATTTTATTGCTACTAAGCTATCTGCGATAGGCGGTTTGACGTTGTCGTTGCTGACAGGTTTGAAACAAAAAGGAACGTTGACCGTTTTGCCATGAGTCCCATAAGGCGAGGATTGGGATGTGCCTTGCCTATGAGTTGGGCATGATGGACGACGCCGTCAAGGATCTTCTTTTGTTGCGTAGACCTCGATTGTCTATAGTCGCAGTCATATAGATTTAAATTCTCTTCTTGAGAATGTTTTATCAATTTCATCGACCTGTATCCGTGGACGCTTTTAGTGATGCAGGACGCCAGTGGTCGCATCTTTTATGGACTTCCCCAATTTCGTGGCCTCTTCCCAGTTGACGCCAACACGTATTTGGCCAAGGGGATGATCCAAGTCTACGAAAGCGCAGATCCTTTCGCGCTGGACCTCCGCAGCAGCACCATCAAAGTGCGATGGCCCACTCACACAGGCCCCGGACTCCAAACATCGCCTATATAGGACAAGTGCCGGTTTGACATAGACGTGCTCACGCAGATGTGACCTCCACTGGCTTTTGTTGTTTTGATTTGAGGCGCAGGTGGACCAGAACTAGGCATCGATATTGGATCGGCACCACATCGAAGAGACCCGAAACCCGAAACTTTTGTGATCGCACTGCTTGGTGAACCTTACAGAAATCTATCGTTGTCGCGTCCATGACCATGACTAGGAAGCCGAGTTGAGCGTCCAGCTCTTGACGGTGTTGCGGCTTCGCGCGCTGCTGCCCTCCACGGATGCTGCGCGGCGAGCGGCGGGGGTCATGCTGGACAACTTCGTCCAAGGATGCATCCATTTCACAGAGGCGGCGGGGTGCTCACTCAGTTCTAGTTCTAGTATCATTTTCCGCGCCCGGTACTAGCGCTCAATTGCAAGGGCTTCAATTCGCCGCTAGGGCAACACATGTCCACGAACAGATTCAATCTTTGAAATTCGACGCAAGCTTTTCCCGGACATGTTTTCTCGCGGGGTGTTTCTGCTAGCTTCCTGTTTGGCAAGCGGTGGCTTCGTTTTCTCGAGCCCGCAGAGACAATAATAAACGGGCCGCATCCATGAGGACACTTGGCAAGGGCAATCCAATCTCATTAGCGTGGGGGCATCTTCGACTACTGTAATGATTCAAAGCCCTGAGGTCTACACCCTGCTGGGTCTCATGCGTTTAAAAAAATGACTATGTGGCGCCCCGAATTCCTACCGCGCAAGGATGAAAATTTGCTCGCGCAAGCAAGCTTTGCCAGGATTTTGTCGTGGACGAAGCATGGGCCATGCGCCGAGACGGCCGCGAGCAACAAGCCGAGGCCGGGCTCTTTTTTTTTGCAGTCTGCGGGGCTTTGGCGGGTCTGTGGCAACGAGTTATAACGAGTTTTCGTTACATTTGATTACTGGCTTCGCTTTTCGTCCCTGGTTAGGACAGCGCTTGGGCAGACCGGCGCGTTGTGGTGTGCAATATCACGACAAAACCTGACGCCGTCGAGCCGGAGACATCCCTCGGATTGCTTTCGCAATCCTGTCCCGAGCACACCCCGTGGGCTTTTGGCCGCGGCACGAAGGAGACAAGATCATTCTCTCTTCATTTTCCCGTTCTGCGTGTTCTGTTTCTTGTTTTCTCCAATTAGATTAATGGACGACGCGCTGCGGGACGGGCTGATGCGCGGACTGCGGCGTTTCTGTGCCATGGCGAAAGCCAAGAGCAGAAAACCGCTCCTGCGCATCCCGGGTGTAGCCATTGTGGGGACCGCCATTCCGGATCCCTGGGGCAACTACTTGGAGGCCTTGGGGTTAAAGTTTCATTCCAGCTGCATTTGCATGTTTTTCTTGCGCGGGCCGAAATCTAAATTTTCTGGTTTCGATCGACGCGTTATTGACGCCCACCAGGAGGGGCAATGCGTGATCACCCGGAACGGCAAGGTTCTGCGCGGAGATTTTGTCTTTTGGCGCTACCCCGTCATGGTGCCTGCCGACATTCAGGCCTGCCTACGCAAGCTGCGTTGCTTCGGCTCGGTATCCGCCATAAACAAAACGAGTGACAAGAACATGGCATCGCTATTCTCGTATTGTTCGCCAGCTTCTTTTTCTTTCCGTGGCGCGCGACCAACCATGCTTGACAGGTCTGGACAGCCGTGGATACGCCGCGGGGGGGCGACTTTTGTCGGCAACAACGCCATCATCACTTCCTGCAAGGGCCAGGGAGGCCGGCCCTTTTATAGATATGTCGCATGGTCAGCAGTTAGAGCCGCGCGCGCGCAAGTTGCTACATGGAGGCACCCTGCTGAGCGGCATGGACAATGACGGGGACAAGCCTTGTGGCTGCAGCTCTGCGCTGCTTGTGGCGTTTGTTCGTGCCACTTCTCAGGCCAGCGCGCGAATTTGAAACACACAGGCAATTCTATCTTATTTTTATCGGGTTTCGCTATTTCGCGGGCGCTCTGCAGGGCATGCCGGAGCCTTTGGTGGACCCGCTGGCGGCGTTGCGGCCCGACCCAGACATTTCCGGTCCCACGGGCAATTTCGGCAGTATTTGCTTACTGCCCCGACCCCATCCACCCGTGGGCTCGGCACCATGATTGCAGACAAGCTGCAGGAGGACAGGGCAGAAGGGGTTCAGACTTGTTGGTCGGATATTGCTTTTCGTGTTGTGAAACCTAGCAGTTGTTGCGTTGGCCTTGACATGCAGGTGAGGTTGTTTCAATTTCCGTTCTCGTTGCAGGCTGCGCTGACTGTCCCTGCTGAAGCCGACCGGGCGGACGCGCTGAAGGCATTGGCCCACGCGCACGCTGGCGGACAAATCGCGCATGCGGCCTATGATGCCTTCAAACAAGGCGCCCAAGCGGGGCACGGAGCGACAATTTGCTTTAAACTTATTTCTCCGCGTTTTTACGACGTGACATGTCGAAAGTCGAAATTCGAGTCACAACCTTGTGGAGAACGATCCTATTTGTCAGAGATGTTGTGGCTTGTGTGAATTTGTTTCAGGCACGCAACGACAAGTGCTGCGGCTTGGGCATTTGCTGCTGCGGCAGGCTGGTCTGCGGCCAAAGGCACCAAAGGCCAGCGCCAGCTCCAAACAGCGACTTGGTTGGCTGCACTCAGTAGGTTGCGCGCGCGCTGTGCTACGGTCAGCAACGCAACCTAGGCGCTCTCTTTAACGAGCGCAGGAAAACAGCTTCAAACGAGTTTCAAGACAAGAGACCGTTGAAACCTTTAGGCGATGGGCAGGGCACGATTTCGGCGAGGTCATTCTATTCTTCACCTACAGCTCTGCAAGCAATAATCATTCAGTCCAGAAGCTAGGGAACGTGTTGTGACCAATTTGCAAGCAGTGTATGGGTCATGCCGCCGCGCCGCGACAAGGAAGCTGCTTCTGTGGGGCGGTGTCCGTGTCCAGAAGCCCTTCGACAAACTTCCGCTTGGCGGTGCCAACGGCAGCGTGTGAAAGTAAAAGCTTGCAATGCAGTGAAAGATCAGTCGCAAAACCGTGAAGCCCGGCGGCTTTGATTTTGAGAATACAGTAGTGAACCGAAAATCCGTTAAGATAATCCAACGCGTGCAGAAAGTGGCAGTGTCAGTTAAGTGGTAGTCCAGCGTGAATTCAGCGCCCCAGTGACGGGGATCACACTGTGCACCCAAGTGGGACGGCGCAGCGGCGCACACTTTGACAATGGGTTTTCAGTTACATCAAAACCGAGGAAAGGAATGAGGGAACGGAAAAGGGAGTGAGTCCAAAAAACTTGAAGATGTTTAATTACTTTACTTCGAGTGATCCCACCATGACATTTCAATCATTTGTCTTGATGCCATAGTGAGGAGCATGTTGCCATAGTCGTTAGTATTGTAGTTCTCGATGTTGCTTGTGGGTCCTCGGGTTGTGTGCTGTGGTTGTGTGCTGTGTTGTGGTTGTGGTTGTGGTTGTGTGTTTGTGGTTGTGTTTGTGGTTGTGTGTTTGTGGTTGTGTGTTTGTGGTTGTGGTTGTGTTTGTGATTGTGTGTTTGTAGTTGTGGTTGTGGTTGTGTCTTTGCGATTGTGTGTTTGTAGTTGTGGTTGTGGTTGTGTCTTTGTGATTGTGTGTTTGTAGTTGTGGTTGTGGTTGTGTCTTTGTGATTGTGTGTTTGTAGTTGTGTTTGCAGTTGTGTGTGTGTGTGGATGTGTTTGTGGTTGTGTTTGTGGTAGTGGTAGTGGTTGTGATTATGTGTTTGTAGTTGTGGTTGTGGTTGTGTCTTTGTGATTATGTGTTTGTAGTTGTGGTTGTGGTTGTGTCTTTGTGATTGTGTGTTTGTACTTGTGGTTGTGGTTGTGTGGTTGTGGTTGTGTGTTTGTGGTTTTGTGTTTGTGGTTATGTGTTTGTGATTGTGGATGCATCGCCAGCTTCGTTGACCAGGCGACGATGCATCCTGCCTGGTCCCCTGCTCTTAATAAAACTCTTTGGGACAGAGTATGACACACACACACACCGACACCGCTGATGCAAAAGGATATAACTAGATAAAGAACTGGAACCTGACATTCGATGCATGTCTACCCTGCGAAAACGCTGGTGCAAACATGAAACTGCTGGGAGTTCAACCTTTTGAACCCAGCTATGGCTAGACTCTACTTGTAGCTCCGCTTTTGTTTCTCAAGCTACTTGTTGTGTTCATGGTCCCCTGGTATGTTGCCCGCATGTCTTCAACGGCGGTTGGATTTTCCCCGCTTTCATCCTCCTTCGGGACACTTTGGCACTGACCAGGCACCATCCGATTGGCTCCAAAGCCTGTACAGTCCTGTCGATTCATCAACAATATCCCTCTTTGCCTGCTTTTTGTGGGCATCCTCCCAGATCTCCACACATCTCCACACCTGGAGATCGTCTGGATCTCCACACGCACGCATCTTGTGACCGGCGTCCACGGCCCCCGACTTCCGAGGCTCAGGGACTGGGCGCTTGGACAAAGGAGCAGATCTTGTTGGGGCACCCGGGCACGAGCAGAGCCATGCCACCGGCGGTTTTGACGCTGATTTTGGTACGGGGTGATGTTGTTTTGTTTCGCGAAGGAGACTGAGTTACACCCTGTGGTTTGGAACCAATTGAAGGTTCAACAGAACAGCACCAAGGGTTTAAGAAAGGATGGTCTCTTGGATGAGTTCCACACAAATGTTAATTACATTAATATTATAAACCAATTGTAAAACCAATATGCACCCGGGAGTCTTGGAACACCAACAAAGATTTCCAGATTGAAACGTTTGGGTCTCCCAAAAATCATTTGGAATCACAATGTTGCGGGAGGTGGACATTCAGGACTAGCTTCAGATCATCAGGCCCAGTCCACCACTCCAGTGGATTGGCAAGGGTTGTCAGTGAATGAGGCGGCGGCCTGGCCAGTTGGTGATGTTGCTGGTTCTTCACCTGGTCCACCTTTGACCATTTCCTGGTGCCTGGATCAATCAATTTGTTTCAAGGATGCCCTCGATCCAAGCAAATACACCAAACGGTCCTTCCCAGTCCCTTTTCAATCTGAATTCAGTCCAATCTCCAAAAAACGGTCTGAGACCCCCAGTCGTTCACCCAGGTGTCTCCAGGATGCAGATGTTCCAGAGGCTGGGCTGAGCTGGGCAGAGCTGAGCTGAGCTGAATCTTCAAGCATCTGAAGCAGCCACACCTTTGGACGAAGTCATGGGATTTGGATTTCACTTTTTACTCATATACTCATACTCCCACATACTCTCACCACTGCAAGCTTGCCAAGCAAGTGGATGTTTCTCATTTGCCGGAGTAGAACTATGATGGGCTATGACATGGTGATGGACCTTAATTTCTTATGTGTTTCCAAGCGTGCATGATTCCAGGGAGTCTGAGTATGTCCGTCGCATGGTTCCGTCGCACGTTTTCCATATGTGTTGGTTCCGTGGGTCCGATGGGCGAACTGCAGTAACATGGGTCCGATTTGATCCCACGATTGAGGACAGGAACCTTACAAGAAGATGACAAGAGAAGCAAACTTGAGCAAACAAGCAGACGCAAAACAGCCACAAATCGACCAGTGAGCAGACGCCATCCATGTCAAAAGAGACTTCTACTAATACCCAACTCCTTCGTGACATCCCCAAGGCTTTGAGGCCCTGAGTTCCTTCGCCAATTATTGGTCAAGACGCGAAGGGTTCAAGGAATCCTCTTCAGTTTTGTGGGGAATGGAATTTGGGTCAATCAAGGTCCAACATGGTCCAACGAGTCTAAGTTCATCAAAACACGAACCATCATGAACAGCATGAACTGCCAGTCGCCACGATGTCCGTGCTCTTCGTGTGATCAGGCCAGCTTTACCATCAGCCCATGGTCGCACAGCTTAGTGGATGGCTTGGGCAGTGGAGAATGCTGGGTCGAACAATCAAAACATCTCAGAACCCTAGATCAGAAGGCACACCAAGCAGGGAAGAGGCAGTAACCAGGGAAGAGGTGGGATTGCATCATACACTCCCTGTGAGGTAGATTAGTCTCTTAGGGGAAGCAAGCAGATGCTTCCGGGATTGAGTTCCCAGGGGGATCAGACAAAAGCCAGAGTAGATGAACACTTGGCTTGCTGGCTTCACCATGTGTCACCCGTGTGATTTGAGGTCTTGGCGTAGGTTTTGGCATGCTGGCTGGATCTCCTGAGTTTGCTATGAGAGTCATTCACCATCTTTCAAGACAGGGAGGTGATGAATGACTCCCTGTTGATGGGCATAGTCATAGTGATTCACTTGTGAGGCCGCTGTGCTGGCATGAAAGGATGTGTGGCCAACTTGCTTCCATGGAGGGCTAAAGTAGCAATTGACAGCAGCACTGATCAACATGTTTGATATGGGTGATCATGGATCAACTAATCATGAACACACAACACAATAGTTGTTCTCAAGTTCCCCCACAAAAGGATGTCAAGATCTGTCAAGTCTTCCCTACAAGATCCTGCCAATCCTTCCAAGGCACATCTACCATCATCCACCCCAACATCACTCATGTTCTTTAGATAATACACTTCCGAAAACTAACATAGACCCTGACTGTCTGAACCCCCTGGAAGATGGTTTTCCTCTACCAACCAGTGGTTCAGGGTCCATGGGATCGTCTACCAGGGTGTAGATTGAAACCATGGATGGCACCACCATGAAAAAGAGCTGGAGCAAAGGATTTCATCCAAGACTTCATTGGATCCATCTTCTTGTTTCTCATCCAACTCTCCCGTTCGGGAAGACCGTGACCCACTGTGACCGGACCGGTCCACCGGTCCCACCACCGGTGACCCGACCGGACGACCCGTCAGGCCGAAGCGGTCGGAGGCCGAAGCGGGCGAGTTCGGCTTTGGCCCGGAGGCGCGGGACGCGCGGGGCGAGGTCGGTCTGACGCGGAGGTCGAAGGAACCGGCTCAAAGATGCTCAAAGACTCCTGTTTGGAATTCATTGGAATGTGTGTGTGTGTTTTTTTTTGTTGATTGTTTTTTTCTCTGAAGACAGAGTGAAGACGTGGGGGGGTCAGGTTCACAGGCTAGGCTTTCAGAACCACGGCTTCAGGGCTTAGACTCTCCAAGAAGCTTCTTGTTTATGGATCATATTTCCAGACCACCCAAGATGCGGCTCTCGGGAGTCATGAACTTCAGGTGGAAAAGTCACTTTGGACTCTATATACTATAGACCAGAATCTGAGATACAGCGTACATCAGGGCAATTACACTATATATATATATTAATTACTATACTTAATTACGATATGTTAAATATAGTTTATAGTAGTTTATCATATAAGTTTGCTGGTGGTGATGTTGACAGTCGAAGAGATGTTGGACGAGGATAGTGAAGCCGCTGGCCGTGTCAGCCCACCTGTCTATCATGTTCAGAGTCCATTTATGTAAGAGTGATGGATCACGTCGTCTACCACACCTTTTCTTTTGATGTTTTTTTGTCGCTCTTCGCCTAAATAAATATATATATAATATATAATCCAGATGACACAGGTGTGATGACTATAGGGATATTTTCCAAGTGCATCACTCGACTGGAAAAAAGCTCCCTGCGCTTCGAACAGGAAGAAAGGGTCGATCTTCGCCCTACGATACTGGTGTTAGTATCGATGCACGCTGCAATTGACCTGTGTGCGGGGCAGTGACCTAGGGTCATCAGCCCAAGAAACAAGAAGCGAAGAGACGAGGTCTTCAACTTGAACCACCCATAACATATTCGTATTATGAGCGATATAAGCGTCCCCTGTCTCCCGTCCCACCCCACAAGTGGTTTTGGAACATGGAACCATGGGTATGTTCGTTGCTGACTTCTTAAGCAAGTAGAGGTATTCACTCAACCATCTTTGGCCTAGTTCACCAGTTCGCATGCAATCACCAGCTCCTGATTCTCTCTTCTTTACAATCCCCAGACCAAGTCCACCTCCAAACTCCACTACTGTCCTTGGGAAAAACCGTGGTTGCCTCCTAGTCCCTTCCCGGGTGAATCCGCGAGTTGAGCGCCAGGTGGGCGTGAATTTGCGCCCCAAGATCGAGACCTCGGCGGTGTGGCCCTTGCAGGTCCGGTCATGCGCGGACAGACGCGCGAGCCACGGCACGGGTCCGGGCGTTGGCCGTTTTGGGAGAACACGTGCCGTGCTCGGTGCCGCCCCCTGTGCTCGGTGCGAGTGGGTGCGATCAGCGGCGGTTTGCTAAGTGAAGAGTCGTTTGGGGCCGGTCGATGGGTTTAGAGAAATGGTTCAGGCGATGACATCGTCACCATTTGTAACCCTTTCTTCTCTATTGAGCCCTTTTCTTGGGTGATATGTCCCACAGCTGTTAGGTCCTGTTAGGTGACCTCAGGACATGGGTATTTCAGTAACAACATCAGATCTGGGAGCAGAGCCACACGCCATGCGTAATGAGAGGATCGGAGCAGGTCGTGACCGGTTTTTTTCTCGCTCGTGTCAACTGATGGAGCAGCTCCGCTGTTTGCTGAGCTGTCGTTCGTCCTCAGCCTGACCTGGTGACCTCACCTGACCTGAATTTGGAAGGAAACAAACATAGTTCGAAACCAGGCATACCAGATATGCCAAATGATCGGCAAACCATGATGAACTCCTTGATTTTGCCGGGACGTTTCTAGAACTTTCTAGACTTGGCTTGGCGAAAGATGCTCGATTCACGGTGAGGGACCGACTAAGTAAGAACTGGAGTTCTTGTATCGCTTGTACCACATGTATCGAAAGACAGTCCAGTCAAGAAGCATTTGATACCTTTGACACCATAGTAAATGCACTAAAGACAGTATATGCATTGTCCGACAAGACAGTCGAGCATGATGAAGGGTATTGGTGCATTTACTTTAGGTCCCAACTGGGCGACGGAGTGAACTCTCATCATTCCGCCGCATCTTGAGGAGCAGCATGTGTGGTGGATAGAACTTCATCAGCAGGTTGGACCAATTGAACCCCCTGCCCCGAGAGATCCATAGCAATCCAGGAAATCCCCAGATCAGTTAGAACCGAGCACACGGGCGCGAGGTTGACACATAGACAGCAGACACATCTTTGGGCCAATGTCGATCAAAGCCCATCAATCTCAAAATCATTCCTCCATAGGTCTTTGGATTTACACAACATCGTTTCAGCATGGCTCTTTAAGTTGGGGCATGTGCCGGACTTCCGGCGAGGCCCAGACGCCGACCTTGGGCATCCCCTTCCGGAGCCAGGCGGGGTGTAGGTGCGATGTGTCCATTTGCAAGCCTTTGGGGTGGTCGACCACATGGTTTGAGATATGTCCACATGGTTTGATCAGAGTCACAAGTGTGAACCACCCAATTTTTAGCCCTAATTGATCAAACTGACGAACCTTCCAACTTCGTCTAGGATACTGGAAGAAAGAACAGATGTGGCGAACAGCTGTGGGTTCCACAGCTCCCAGCTGCAGCACAACTTCTGCCAGGCAGCACGACTTTTAGCTCTTCAGGCTACCTTGAGTCACCAGGTGGGACGTCCCGTGGTGTGTTCGCCACGGGTGCTTGAGTCGATGTCCATGAGGTGTTCAACAGGCTACACTTGGAGATCCATCATCCCTTGCTTGCACCGTCCAAGCAACCATTCCGTGGGAAGAACAGATGTCACATGATTCGGGTAAGACTTGAACTATATGAACTTGGAAAATCTGGGAACCAAGTTCGTTGGGCACAATATGCGAGTCCTTGCTCATGTCGAGTCCTGAGTGCAGCTGCACTAAACGCAAAGTTTTGGGCACAACCCACGCGAAGATGAAGGACAGGTCACTGGGAACTGTGGTGAAGTACCCCCGGTTGATGCCGCTACACTTCCTGGCACTCACATGCTCGGACCAAAAGGCTCGGGGCCACACTCTCCACGCGAAAAACCGACCACGCGAATGGGAGCGCGTGTGGATCAGCGGAAGCGTGGACCCAGTCCACCTGGTGTTTTTCATGTCAAAACCTGCCGTGAAGATGGAGCAGAGACTTAAGAATTGCATCCTTCCAGGCTCTGGCATGGCATAGATTGCGCCCTGGCCATCCAATTCTGTTTTTTCAATCCAGGGGCTGACGTGATCTGCAAGCAGAGTCCCCCAGATTGGCCCAGTGGTCCCAACCTCTCACCTGGACCTGGCTCAATGCGAAGAAGATTGGTTCCGAGATAGACCTAGTAAGTGGATTGAGAGTACTGTAGATGGCCCAATCCACAAGATCCAAAAGGTGGTTGTATGATGTTGTATGAAAACCCCATCTAAGGTTGGGGTTCATGCCATCTGAAGTCTTGGAACAGCGCCGAATTGTGCGGCACCTTCCGGGCGGCAGACCGTGGTGGAGTTGCCCCTGGTCGCTGCGCGCTTTCGCAAAAGCTGGGCGATTGTCGGGGTGCCCGAGGTTCTTGAGAGATGAGACCAGAAAACAGAAGAAATGGTCCAAAAGGGACATCCCGCTTTGTTTGGGGTTTGAATGGGTTGGAATGAGTTGGAACTTAACTGAGGTGGAAGATCCAAAGTTCGCTGCTTTGTAAAGACATTGTATGGAGCTATATAGGACTATTTGCTACAGACTCGCTGGGTTTCTTCAGGGAGGTCCCTGTTCTCCGGCTCCAACCTGATGGAGTGGGGTTTTGGGGATGTGGGGTTGTGGGCCAAATGAACAGTAGCTTAAACATGCTTAGGCTACGCAACAACACTGTGGCCCTGACTTTGTTAACGACGGGGTGAAGTGACATTCTTACGAATTGATGAGCCTCAGAAACTTCATTCAGCAACTAGTTTGATTTTTGGGAATCAGTTCAAACGGAAGAATGTGTGAGGCTTACCTACATCGAAGTCCAAATGAAAGCTTCCAAGAAGCCCAATGAAGACCTGCCAGACTTCTTTGTTCTCGCCGATCGGCTTTGACGGGGAGGCGCATGAAAAGACACCCGGCCGCTCACCCGGCCAGCTGCAGGACGTGCGAGACGTGAACCGAAGTGTGAGCTGTGAACCTGAAGGCCAAGTAGGCGGGCCTGATGTACTTCAGTCAGCAACCTGATGTACTGGGAGACTGGGAGGAGAGGGTGTTTGTTTCTTTTTTTGGGGGGGGGCGCTTGTGGTGGCCGATACAGACGTCTGACTATATTTCGAAGGAGAGGTCCGGTCCCATGAACTATGCATGATGTTATAACATGTTATAAATGATAAACATTTGTAAAGCCAATTGCGAGGTAGATAAGCACCTGTGTCACCCAAGGGAGGATGCTCAGATGAACGGTAATGGGCAGAACATGGTTCCTGAGTTTGTTGGAAGACCATGCTGCTTTCCACTTAATTATTAACAGGATTGTGATGGATTGTGTGATATTGTGAGTTTTCTAATTACGTTGGAAGACCATTGCAATCTTTGCAACAGGTATGTTCCAAGCATTGAATCTTGAAAACAATCTCATGCAAACTGGAAAGCAACCTCGACCGCCGGAGGCGTTTGGCGGATTGCCTGCCGCTTCGCCCGTGACGCGCCGGTGCAGTTGGTGGTCTTTTGCGGCTCCTTGGAGCGATGAAGACGCTGCGTCTTGGGGCGATGGGGGTATGCCTGTGAAAGAAAAATACACATTTTGGTGGATATAGTGGATATATCGTACAGCAGTTAGTACAGTATATAGCATGGGAATGGGGCTGAAGAGAAAAGTTTATCACATAACGATGGAGAAAGGCGTGGCATTTTCTGGAAGCACTGAAGGCCAAGGGTTGGACTTGATTTGTTAATTCGTTTGTTTCCGCAAAACAAGTCAGTCGTTGGGAGACTCGTTTGGCCCTGGCCCACCGGGTTCGAAAAAAGGGGGAAAGCGACCCTATAATACTGTGTATTGGAAGAATTCCGTGAGCTTGCCCTTCGTGACCGACAAGCAATGAATGACTCACAATATGCTGTGTTCACTCTGGAGATTTCTGGAGTCGGGAGCACCGGCTATCTGACTATCTGGCCAGTCCGGTTTGCAAGAAGAAGAACAACATACAGTCATAAATATGGTGAGACGCTTGCCTCCGCACGCTAATCGCACTGATGAGGATCGTTTGGGAGAAGCAGGACATCCTCAGGACATCTACAAAATTGCGTGTGATTTTTCAGCCGATCTGGCTGGCGTAGATCCAGGCAAAGACAGGCAACAAATATGAATCTGAAGATTCATGAAGTCAATCTACCACTGACAACAAACATGCCAACAGAGGTTGAAGAACCCTATAGACTATCCCATAGGTATCCCAGTGTGGCCCTTTTTCAGGTCACTTCACCTCTCTTGGTGTTACACATGTCAAGAATGTCTCGGTGTCGATGATGCAGGTCCTGTATGGGAGGACCGATATTTGCGAGGTAGCACGGCCGTGGCAGTTGGTCGGTGGCTTCCAGGCCAGACCTGTGACTGTCTCCATCGAAAAGACCTGCGCCGCGAGTTCGGCTTCATCAACACTCATGAAAGGTCAATGTTCAGGGTCCATGTTTGTTTGCAGGAGGATGGATAAAGGCAGATGATGATGATGATGATGATGATGATGAGGATGGATAAAAGACAGATGATAAAGGCAGAGGATGGATAAAGGACGGATCAATGGATCACGGGAACCACCCGTCAGATGGGATCCTGCGGGGTGATTCATCTCTTGCGGCTTGTGAACAAACAGAAGGCGGCGCCTGTCAGCATCGGCATTCCGCGTTTGAAAAGGACCTTTTTGGAGCCATGTTCTAAGGCCCCTGCGCAAGGAGCAGCGCCCGGATGGAGATTGTGCAAGGCCAGAGAACTCGCTTGGACTCAGTGGGGCCAGTGGGGCTCCCATCACCATGCGACTGGTATAATGTAGACAGACAGAAGACAGTATGAAATGCCTCATGTCAATCTGTCTACTGTATAATATATATACTGTGCGCGGAGTTGAGTCGTGTAATAATGTCCGGACATTCTTTTTTGCATGTCCTAGAGCCAACATGGACACCTCAAACATGGTGTTCTTACCTTTTTGTCCTGTTGATTTCATGATAACATGTGTTGTTCAACTTGCATTGGGAGTTGTTTAGAGTCGTTTTCTTAATGTGTGCAAACATGTGCAAACCATTGTTGACGACAAGAACTTGTTTGGACCAACTCCCGGTCCACATACACCAAGTGACCATGCCTCCAATCAAGAAAACAACCACGTTTGGCTACATTGTGCGGATGTATGCACTTACCCGTGAACATAATGTTCATTTGGCGTTGGGATGGACTTCACGCTTATGAACATTTTAACTCTGTCTATCTCTATCTCAAATAGGAGAAAGGAGGTTTCTTCACTTGGACTTCCCGTAATGGTTGTACTGTGGATGGCAGCTTCACCCCATCAAAAAGTTTCTGACCATTGTGGTATAGCCAGTGTCTTAAGAACTCGGGCACCACCGAAAAAAACAGAAACTCTCCAACATGACCTTTCCCAGTCCCAGGCGGTGTAGACCGTTCAAACAGAATTGACTTTTCATTTGATGCTCATCTTCGTAGGCAAGAAGCGCCAGGAGACCGATGCGTCCTGTGCTCGGTACAACGGATGGGGGGCCCGGTGTGTCGGACGGAAGTTGAGATGTGAACAGAAGAACGGACCATCCAACACCTCAACTACATCCAACAAGAACAAACACCAAGAACGCCTCAAGATGGTGTGTTGGATGGTGTAGTGGCCTGTAGTAGTGAACAAACATCTTAGTGAACTGAGTTGGCAACTTGAGCTACGTACCATGGATATCCCCCAAATGGGTTTAATTTGTGGGGAATACAGCCATCTAGGTTATTTGTGAACCATGGTTTTGGCCGTTGCTTGTTTGAGGACGATATTTATGGACCCTACCTGGTGCATGTTCCGCATGTCCATTCCCTCTCTTAAGAACGTTTGCTGGACCGCATTAGATCCAAGGATTCTCTTCCCAAAATACGTTCTGTCCTTGTGAGGACCCCTAGTATGCAAGACGCAAATTAATCGATTACCATAAAGCCAAGCAACAAAACCAACAGCAAAGGACACTGGTACTCACCCAACAGCGTACTCACCCTCTGGTTTTTCAATCAGCTGGGAGCCTTTCCTGGAAGCCTTCCATCGGCTCCCCGTCTCACCCGATGTTCGATGTTCCGAGGCCCTGGATTGGGCTCACCGCAGAGGGCCCTTTGCAATGGGCGCCTTGGAGGATGTAGCTGCCGGGAGTGGCGATGGCCTCCACCCCTAAGAGCGATGGCTGCCAGGAGGGGTCAGCGGAAGATTCCACCAAAACCCTGGAGCATCCGCATGTCTCCATCAGCCGGATGTCCCCATCAGAGTCTCAGAGCGGCATTCACACTGTTGGTATCCGGGTTGTCCAGGTGCAGGGATTTGGAGCCGGATGGATGCGTGCCCTGCCAGCTCACTATTGAAGTATCATGAAGTATCCAGCGGGAAAAGCAAAGCAAATGTAGGTCCTTAGGCCTGATCCACTCGGCGGGTGTGGGCAAAAGTCGATGAAGACTTCTTGGAGTATTGAGAAGTAGCTCCTGCAGGAACATCCGATCTTTGGATGCCTTTTGCTCCAATGAACTGGGTACGGTAAGACTTGCAGAAGACTGATCGTGATGAAGTGAGTGGACAGTCATGTTCAGATCTCAGATCATTGCTGCCCTAGAACCAACAAAAACACCATAGGGATCCATGGATTTTTTATGACTGCGCCTATCAGTGCTATCACCAGGGGTGACTCGAACTCACTACTTTGACTCGATAGTGACTGCAAGCAACTCATCGATCATGATCGACTCTTGAATAAACCCCCACCAGAACGGGGACGGTTAGATCCGCATCCGTCATCGCGCTCGCAAACCGCTTCTTCTTTCCACACCCAAACATCCATTCACTTGCCTTTCATGGAGCCACAGATTTGGCACTGGTCACAACAGCATGATTTGGACGCTGTTTTTTTGACTGCAATGCCTCAAGGGAGTCAACTCCGTTGGTCTTTGTTGGACGATTTGGACGCTTCATGTGATTGTAAAACACCGGAAATCACTATGGATGCATGCACTTGGTCAAAACAGCTGTTGGTCATGACCATCGCGCACGCACCGCACGACCGTGGGCGCGCGCTGCGCGTTTAGACGCGGTTCGCTGCGGACCGCGACCGACCGACCGGTCTCAGGTCATCACGGTGAGAGAGACGGTGGACGATCGGGAGCCGGGGTGGACACAGACGGTGGGCGGAGCGGTGAAGACGAGAACCAAAGAGAGGAGAACTTGACATGACCAAAGATGGTCTTGGCTTTCCTAATCTCCATGGGTTTGGTACGGTTTGTTGGTCATGGTGAATGTCTGCAGAAAACGCTGAGTACACCTGAGGGCCCCACTTCAAGCTCCATCCATTGCCTTGTTGGGATCAGATCTACATGGAACGCCATGTAGCCAAGCTGCATGTAGGCCATGGAAAACTCATGAGTTGAAGGGAAATGCCTCTTGGCATCTCTTGGCTCATGCCGAGCAGACGAGAGACCACACCTCCAAGTTGGAAGGAACGAACAGCGGCGCAGGAACCCTCCGCTCAGCTGGCCGAAGACGAGCGGTTGGGTGGGGGGTTTTCATGGCGCGGCCCAGGCGAGCATCACGAAACCAGACGATAGCGTTTTTTCGCATTTACAGTCACCACTTTTCTCTCAACCAGCCGTGGAAAAGGTCGCCGAACGGCGTGACCCGAGACAAAATGAATTGATGGAAACTGACCCGGGCTGGATTCTTCTTGGACCCAGGGTAGTGAAGTGATCTATTTGGCTGTCATTCATGGGGGATGAAAAAACACACTTCCATGTTCCAACTATCACCTTCTTGCAGGAGAAGGTGCAGGATTTCGTGATCGCTGCTGTCATGGGGGATGAGGAGGTGTCGGGGCAGCCCAACCTGAGCGGTGCAGACTTGCTACTGGGCTTACCAGCAGCCACTGCAAGCCAGGGGAACCTTGCCCCGCGGACCACTACTCTTCAGAATCTACGGTTTAGAGGTTCTTCTGTCAATCTCATAAGACCTAAATTCTATGCAGGGGATGGTCTATATTGATCTATAATGATATATATATATATATATGTCCTATTGGGGTGGTTCCCCATAGTTCGTTTTACAGACAGAGAATTGATAGCTTCTTCGGGCGCGTCGAGGCCATAATGTTCGACCCAATGGTGCGTCGGGGGTGCAATCAGGCAATCCAGAACGCAAGATGAATTGCGGAAGCGTTGATGTATTGGTTGCATCCATAGGATTCGGGTGGGCGTCTTCTCAGACTCGCATCGGATGCGCCAATGAGTTGTGGCTCAGAACCTGGGACCAGTTGGGACCCCAAAATCCGCATGCGCCCGCACAGGTTTGTTGGGATTTCGGAGTTGCAGAATTTCTCCGAGAAATGCCGCCGGTAGTAGAGAGAGATTAAGAGTGTTTTCTGGGCATAGCAGAGTCTGGGTTCCAGTTTCAGTCTCCGGTCAACCTCATGGTGTGATAGCTATGTTTGCTTCCTTGCTATGTTTGCTATGTTTGCTTCCGGCTATTTTTGATGCCTTCATGGTGTTTCAGTCTCTTTGCATCTCCTTGCTGTTTTTCCTATTGAATGGCTGCCTCCTTGGGCGATCGAATCTCGAAGACGAATGCTCTCCGAGAACCAAAAACGCGGACGGGCCCTACAGAGGCGTGTAAACGCAAAGAGTCAGACCATGTTCAGGCGTTTCCGAGGTTTCTGTGTTTCGCTTCGGAAAACAGACCATGTCTGCCAGTCTGTCTAGGCCCCAGGGGATCTCCCTCCGAAAAGAAAACACGCACGAAAACGGCCTCCCGCCCGGGCCGACCGTCCCAGGCGCTGGGCAGAGTCCGGCGTGCAGCGGAACGTGCGGATCTTCGGGATGCTCTTGGCCCAGGTGGGGGCTGCCGCTGTGGTTAGACCCGGTCTCCACCGGGCGGTCATGAGACGCTTGGGGAGAAAAGCATTGGGGACAGGGCATGGTGTGGGACCCGGTGGATTGGAGGAGTGTGGATGGGATTTTGTTGGACTCGCATTTCACCTCTAGACTGTGGTTGGAATATGTCCGAATTTGTGAAGGATGTCGTTGGAGTTGGAGTTGGTCATAGAAAGCCATTAAATTATATACTGTAGTTTATTGTATAATGTTGTATATTAATTGTTCATTATAAACAGTTATATTAACTAAAATATGTTGTTTGCAGTTTTAGGACCATGGAATTTGCGTACGGTCGATGGCAGAGTTCCGCCGAACACAACCTCCAACCCTGCAGAAAACACTGAGGATGATGGTATCACGCGTCTCAGGTGGCCAGGATTTCCATCAACGACAGTGATTGGAAGAGACTCTGGTTATGCGTACGCACCAGGAATACCCAGGAATAAGGATTCGAAGGTCAAACAGGAGTTCCATGAGAGACCACGTCTCAAGTCATGCAGTGTCATGGCAGTTCATTCATTTGGACGGCAAAACTGTGTCATAACGCTGCAAACCCTGGACCCCCAAATGAATAAACTGTTAGTCAAGACCTTAAACCTGGACCCCCTTGGGCCCTCTTCACCAGCTGACGCCCCTTCGGACCCCATACCAGCTCGAAAGAGTGGCTGGTGCATAAGAAGCATGCATGGAACATTGCAAAAGAGTGCACCTCAAAGTATCCCAACACAGCCTAAACTAGCCTAGAAGGTTTGACCTTCGTAGTCCATGTGGATGATCCGAGTCAGGGTGAGGCATTTGTTGAAAGAATGGGTGCCAGAGGGTGCACCACACGTTTCCTTGCAAATTCATGAGGATGAAGGACCTTTGCCCATCATTTGTTGCGAGAAGCACTGAGTACATTGCAAATCCACGTTTTGCTGTTTTGCTTGTAGATGCTTTAAAGGCCTACAGGGGTTGATGTCAGAGGCACTAGCTCGACATGTTCATATCTTGACGGGAGAAACATGTTCAACAACCTTGAAAGTCTGCATAGAAGCGTGGAAAGCCTCTTTGCCAATGCATGCTTTAGGAAGCTACTAGTAGCAAGGACGCTATTAGGTGGAGGCCATCGCTACTAGTAACAAGAAGCTACTAGAAACATACAATCCATTTTGCAATCAATTGCCTCTCTCCTCCCTCATTCACCCATCAAGACTCTATGCCACATACAGACTCTTTACACTGGGTACTAGGTATGGCCCCCCAGGCTTGCCGAGGGGTTCATGCATAGTGTTCTTGTTTGATCATGTTTGAGAGTTCCATTTACTGCACAGGTTTGCGTTGGCTACATTTTACTTTGTCTGGGCTTTGGCTAGGCACCTTCGACATGTTTCAGGATATAAAGAACACAAATTGAGGGTCTAAGCTACTCACCCAACCCACCCAGACCAATATGTACAGAGTGATCGCGTCAAAAACATCACCGGAGTTGTACCAGGATGAGTTGATTGAGCAGCTCTATTAGAGATTGTATGAATTTGTAATATATAGAATCTGTATAGAGTAATATGTATATATAGGAACAGTCAAAATGACCGGACCGGAGATGTCTTGTTTGATTCGACATTTTTGTTGACTGGACCCGTGGATGATGGGACAGATTTGTTCTAAATCCAAAGCAAGAAGCAATAGGTTACTCACAAAATGCTATAGGTGATAGGTGATTTGCTAACCTTTGGACAAGGCTTGGGTGAACAAACAAATTTGACCACGGTTTTTATGATATACTTTTGAATACTTTCGATACCTGTCCAGGTAGGTGATGTGAAAGAAGATAAATAAACGAGCCGTCATAGGGTTCCTGGATGTTCCTGGCCATTGTGGACCACGAACATCATCAAACAGCCAGCGCAAGGCGACCCTCCTTACCGCTGCAGGGGTGCTCGTGCACGAAGAGGAATTATTGCATTGTTCTGGTATGTTCTGAGAGATAGGTCGATGGAGAATGCAGTCGGTAGGACCGAGCAGATAAACTAGGCTGTGGGCTTGTGATATCTGGTGATTTCCGAACAGGGAAACTGCTCCCAAGTCAAGGCCAAGGACATGCACGAATTCGCTTTATCCTCAAGTTAGGGGATCACACGTAGTGGTGAACCTGTGACGTGATGCAGACAGGCTGACAGGCTGGTTGGGATCACCAAGACCGTCAGATTTGCTTCGTCGTTCGAGCTTTGGAACCCAAACACCGAGTCGCCCGTCGTTTGTGATTAACTTGTGGCTCTCTTTGTGTACACTTCACTGGGTGATCATTTGTGCGGTTTCCATGCAGATATTGGGCAAACCACTTGGGAGAGATCTGGAGACTATTCACGCCATCCAGCGATTGCACTTTCTGTTCTGGACGGTTTCCGGACAAACAGCGAGGCTCGAAGGAGTCACAAAGGGGTGGTGTTTAGTCCCCAAGTGAGTGGATAATGGGCACCCCTAACCTCCAAGCACCCCTTTGTGACTGCCGGTTCAAGCAAATACTTTCCTTTTTCGCAAGGCTTGAGGCGTCGATCGCGTCGATGCTGGTCGGAACCTTCCAAACTCTAGTGTCGATGCTCAGGTCGCGCTTGGTTTCGTCTCGGCACCCCAAACGTGGCCGGGCCTCAGCAGTGCTTCACTGGTGCTGCCCTACTTGGCCCTACTGGCGGTGCGTGAGGCGCGTGTGGTGTGAAGACGGGCTCGCCCAGTTAATCATGTCGTGTTCCGGGGGAAAAGAGGGGCTCGGTTTTGGAATGACCTGTTTGGCCGCACGTTCAGACTGAAGTTTGACCATCACTAAGTCACTCAGTCATGAAGTCGAACGCCAGCCCATCGGCGTAAAAGCCCAGCCACCCGGAAATCTTGACCTGTGTGACCTATTTGATTCTATTTGCAATCATGATTGAGAGATGTTCAAGCCATACTGAAGCCCCAAAAAAGTACACCCTGTCACCCTGTCCATGATGAGCTAAGCTAGAAACACAACTCATCCAGAAAGCAGCGCGTCTAAGCGCTTCCGAGCTGGGTTTTGTTTCAGCATTCTCATTTACTCATGGGGAGCCCAAACCCTTGGGAACCCAGGACCTCTCAATATCATTGAGGATCCCACTCCCATAATTAGGCATGCGGCATGATTGGACTATATACATTTGACTCAAAGAGCACCAACCATCAAGCCGCCATTATATCAGATACAATCAATATCAACCGATGATGGGGAATGGACTCCTTCCGTGTGGGGGGGCAGAACTCAGGGAAGGGGCTTCGGAGGTTGTCCCAGGAAAAGTTGCTACGCTGCTACGGCTTTGTAGCGAGGGGGCTGTTGTATGTCCGGGAGGCTGACAATCAACCTTCTTTGGTACAACCCAAAACGGATCGATTGGTCAGACCCAAACCTTCGACCTAATCGTTTTGGTGAGCCCTCGAAGAGGGGCCAAATTGCATGGGTGATTGTCCTGCCATTTCGCAGGATGCTCCGGTGCTGCTGCAGTCGGGCTTCACGTGGTGGCCCTTGAGCCAGTACCCCTTGCTGTTACTCATGGAGGCGCTCTCAGACCCATCCCCTAGAGGACGGAAGGTCTTCGACTTGTCGAACTCGAACTGGGTGGGGAACGAAGTCTTCGCTGCAACCAAAGAACCCACCAAAAAACAAACAATCCAAGCCGGTGTTTCTTTTCTTTTCATTTTTGTCTAAGCAGCATTTGAGTTCTGTGCACCAAGTTCAAGTGGTTTATAGACCCCCCTGGCTGTGTCTTTTCCATCCAACAGCCACAGGAAATGGATGGATCTTGACATGTGCGCCCTGAGAAACTGACATGCTTCTCCACACCTGACCGCATCTTATCTCCTTGTGCCACAAGCCCTTACGACCGTTGACCAGAAAAGGAGATCCAGTTCGAGGACCAAGGTCACGAGATCATCCATTAATAGTTGTGAACCCTGGATTTATATTAGTTGGGTGGTTGAATCAGGGGGTTCCTGCTTCATGGTCAAACAACTCGTTACCCTTTATAGACCTTTCTGGACCTTTCTAGGTATACTGAACACCAAGTGTCAGCACTACATTGAAAGGAAGAACATGTTTTTGTGTAACTTGTTAAACATAGATTGTTGGATTTTAGCTGACTGCATACACCACGATGCTCCACTGACTTAGCTAGGGACATGAGTCTGGTCTCTCCCGAACAAACATTTCGTCAGGCAAACAGTGGCAGAACCTGGCAGAACGACCGTCGTTCCGGCCTTCGTGGGCGTTCGTTGCGTTCCAGGCCTTTGCGTTGATGCTCATCGTGGTGGTCTTCCACGGTCATGCAGCGCTGCAGTTCCTCCAGGCCTGCGGGAGACCAGCCTGGAGTGGGGCACGAGGAAACGACCAGGACCTGCAAGGGGTTGTTAAGAGAGATCCCCTGAAGCGGTTATATAGAGACGAATAGGGCTTGTTTTTGGTAGGTGATGGCTCCAAGCGAATATGTTTGAGATGCCGGAGATGCCAGAGATGGCTTGGTTCCGCGCCATTCGCAAATGATGCCAGAACGGTTTGAACGGTTACTCCACACGTTGCATGATGTCTTCCACACTCCATGCTCTGGGCTGGGCCAACATGCTCTGTGGCAGAAAAGCTGAAGTCTGCTCGTGCCTGTTGGGGGCTGATCTAATTCGTGTCTATGTGATTCCATGATGATTGCCTCCTGCAGAGCAGCATTTTGGATCCTTGTGGTCGCATTCCAAAAGTCTCGATCAATCATCAATGACTCCTGTCTGGGAACCTTGATGAAGCCAGCCTATGTCAAACAATTGAGTGGTTAAGGTCTTTGGATATTGATGGAATCAATATGAATAGATCCTGCCAGCTTTTTCAACTTAAACCTAAAAGGCTTTGTATACAGGACTGACTTTCTGGACTCCAGCCATCTCCACCTCTCCATCAGGCCAATGGTCCAGGCTCAGCCGAAGAGATGCCTCACGGCCTCTCGGCGGTGTCACGCCTCGACGCACAGCGAGGATGAGACGGCTGTATGAGAGTCTAGACGTGCCATCCGACTATCATGTGACTAGCAATCTACTATCAATTTGTATATATATATACTATTAATTAATATGTATGTATATATATATATATTTATACAACTATTTATATATATATAGTCCTTCTAGAACATGATTGTAGATGGCACATGTTGGCACATGTTGGGCGCACTGTGTCACCCTTCTTCTCGTCACATCTGTCGAGTGCGGCGTGTGGCGGACCTTGTTGGAATGGGTGGACCGCCCCCGGCGCCGCCATACGGTCCTGTTCGCACGAGGATGTTGGATGTTGGACATGTTGGTTTCAAAAGGTCGATTGGGTCGGACAGAATGTTCTCACTCGTTAGATGGTCCGCTCTGTTGATTCTGCAGATTTACTCTTCGATGATTGTTTGGACAGACCTAGGTGTGCCGAGTACATCAATCAACAGGAATCCAATCCTCTCTTGTCGAAAACAAGAACTCCCAACCAGGTACCCCAGAACTCCCCACCCTTGCAAACTGACTTTTTTCCCCACACCAACCCCAGAACGAACCCCCTCCGCCCTTGTAAACCGGCTCCCGCCCACTCTCCCGAGGTTTGAGCTTCGGCGCGTGGGAACTGCGGGTGCTCAGCATCGTCGCGTGGGAGCTGAGCCGGGGAGATCGTCGGAGTGAAACCTCACGGGACCGGCGGTGAATCGGTGGCGAGCACCGCCCGGGGGGTGGGGGCCTTTTTCCGCCACATCGAAACGAGTTGCCATCGTCATGGAGGTCTCGGCTAGCAGCTAGTGTTTGCGAGGTTTCGCAAGTGGACAAGCAGGGCCAATCACATGTGTGTGTTTACTGCAAACCAGGCCCTCATTGAATATCATCATGCACAGCAGGCTCCGGCTCCAAGCGGACCCGAGGTGAAAGTGCTCATAAAGGGGGTGCCAATCTTGTATAGGGATGTGCACCATGTGCACATTGACTCGACAGAATGGACACCACCTCACCATCCACCGAAGGCACTCGGCTCATGAGGGTGGAGTATGATTCTTAAGGGAGACCTCCCAGACAACGACCCCATGGAAGGTTCGGGAAATAGACCAGTCTACCTCTTGGGTCCAGGGATCTCCCTCAAATACACAGCCATTTGATGCCATTTGCAGTTTTTGAAGAAGTTGACCACGCAGAATCTCCATATTCAACTACACAGCCATTTGTAGTGCTTGCAGAAGTTGACCATTCAGAACGCTCACAAAAGAAAAGCATATACTCTTCATCTTCATATCTTAAATTCAAAAAGCCCTGGCTTTGGAACTTATATAGTTTCAAAACGACCCTAAAAACCGTGTTGGACTCGTTCCTCTCGTCGGGACCGAGGCGGTGCCCGTGGGCTCGGCGGGACTGCGCATCGCGCTGAGCGGCTTCTTCGCGAGCCGTGGGAGCAGGCCAAGGGATCCATGCCCAAAAGACCATCAACGATGTTTTCCATTTATTAATATATATATATAAGTTCAATCATTTTAAACACATACAGTACATATAAAACAATTAAATAACGTGCTTCACATGTAAACATGACGCAACATGTTTTTGTTGTTAATTGGTGTTTTTTAAGCTTATTTTTTGCCCGCTACTAGCCCGCTTTGCCCTCAGTAAGCTCCAAACTAGCCTAGCTACTAAGACGCTACTATACCTACTGGAGGAAAAGGCTAGCTGACAGAAGCGGGGAGGGCTATATTATGCTATGTTGCTGTGTTTCTTGGGGAGGGCAGATTATTTTGTGCACATCCTTTGGGATGTGGCAGCCTGTCGGGTGGATCGGCGAGATCAACAGGAGTGAATTCTTACTGTTTTGGAGCATTCCCGTTGATGTCAAGATCCTTTCGCTGCACCAGAGTTCACAAAGTGGAGAATTTGCCGTAACCACAATCCATCCGATTGGCGCTGAGGATATAAGTAAGACTTTACTCTACATGCTCTCACTTGTATATCGTGACAAACTCTGTTGCTTTTCTGTTCTTCCTGGCATCTTCCTGGCTGTGCAGACAACATCAGATGACTCCGATTGTTCACTCTTCCTGGCCTTCAGAGATGGGGGAACCGGTGTTTTTGGGCGCCCGAAAAAGGGGGTAACCGAAGGAGGAGGCTCCGATTTTCACGGAATTTGCTTGGAAAGACTGCAAAAGGATCATATAATGTTCGTTGGCACTTGAGAGCGGGCATTTGTGGCAGTGCCAGGAGTGCACTACCACAACCTCAGGAGTGTTCGTTGCTTTTGTTGATGTTCATTGGCCGTTTCTTCGATGTGCAGTTTCTTCCACCACCTGTACGGCCTTTGTGGTTTGGGGCTCCTTCTTAGCTTGCTGGTGGGGTGGCCCAGACTGACGTGGGAGTGGAGAGTGGAGTGGAACATGTACCTGGAACCTCTCAAGTACACTAGATTAATTATACATACCTTGGGTTTTGTCCTAAATTTACTGTAACAGTCAGTAAACAATAATTCATTACTATTATGTTTGAAGTTTGAACAAGGCCTTTACCAACCATCATCATCCGTCCCATTACAGGTATCAGGATAGACCCAACTCATACCTCACATAACCCATGTTTATCGCAGCTTGAAGTTCTGAAGAACCCAGGTAGATTTCACCGAAGCATTTCGTTCTGCTTTTGCAGCCGGGCTTTTGTAACCTATAGATCATTCTGCCAGACTGTGACCAGACTGGTGCTCCACCGATAGAAGTTATTTTGCCACATGTTTTCTTTGCTTTTGACCTTCACAATTGTCACGGCTGACGAATTGGGCCAAGTGGATCCTGGACTGAATCTACTCTAGTTGGGAAGCAGGTACAGGGCATGGTTGCAGGTGGACCGGTGTTCGAGGCCTTTTCGGGAAAGTTGAGAACCCACATAGAATGGGCACAATATGTCCATATATGTCCTATAGGCTATCAAATTTGTTTTCACACCGGTAGTTTGCACATGCAAAGTTCAGTGGTCCAAGTGAGATTAGACATTATGTACAGACAATCTTGGGCCTGGGAGTTCGTATTTACGAGCTTTTACTCAATTCCTCGCAGTGGCCAAAGATGATTCGGAACCTCTTGGAAAACCCTTCTGGCCTAACCTCCACAAGCAACCTCTGTGTTCCAGATGTTCTTCAAACCTCGCTGAGGAGGATCGTTCCTGGTCACAGCGCTGGTGGATGATCGGATCGATGTGTTTTAACTCCAGTTGAAGCACCAACTTCAGAGAGTTCGGAACATGGATTCATATGTGGCACTCCATGGGACAGGAAGACTATATGTTTGAAACCACGCGCTCCCATATTGTTTTAGTACTATACATTATATATAGCTCAATCATATGGTGTGTTATAATACTTACATTGACCCCTGAAACCACCCTATGTAAGGTATACAAAACATGCTATGCATTGAGTGTTTGGAAGATCACTAATTGATTGACTTCCTTGTTCCAAAGCAGGTGCACATCCTAAAATCAAAGGTGCGTTACGGCGTTGCTAGGCTTATAACATAGCACCGCAACTGGGTAGTGTCGCGGACTCATTGTCAGGTTTCTTTTGCCAGCGTTCGATTTCGATGACCTCGCTTCAAATGCAGGTCGCTGTTCACAAGAGGACGGTTCGTGTGGGGATGCCCTGGTCTCCTGGACTGTTCCTGTGGAATCCCTCCCAGGTCTTGCCTTGGAAAGTCCTTCAAAGGCTCAAGGACTTGTTCCAAGAGGGACGCATCATTGGCCCGGTGCCCCAGGCAGTGCTCCAGGTGGGCGCCCAAGTGTCCGGTGGAAGCCGCACGCTTCCAAGAAAGGTGTCCGCGTCCGCGAGCTTAGCCAAGAATAAGAAGTGGCTGCCCAACAATCAAATCTTGACGCCCCCTCTGAGGGCTACTGTAGTTCACATCTTGGATTCTTCAGATACCAGCAGGTGATTGATGCCATTCCTGTGTGCTTTAAAAGACGCTCCACACATGATTGAGGTATAGCAAGGTACAATGTACAAGCAAAGAAGCCCCATGAACCGACATGTTCTTCCTTTGTCTCTATAGCGGGTAGAACTAAGACGTTTAACACGTGATCATTATGTTGAGCACTTGTTCTTGTCTCTACGAACCATAAATACACATAACAACACTCTCCACAGCATTCGAGTTTTTCTACCCAATCTTGCATCCCATGATTGATGAGCACTCTTCTACAACACACACACAACCGAGCATTTCCTTGATTGCTCCCTTAGACCACCGGCTTGGACGACGCATCGGCGCCAGAGGTGTTCAACTCCAGGAGGGAACGAAGTACATTGACCGGGCCCACCCGGGCCGACAATTGCCTGATGGAGGGAGAAGAGGATCAGAAACTACGTAGCTGATTGTTTGTGAAATTCAGTAGTTGGGGGGCCATCATGTTTCCCACTGAACAGTTTTGGAGAGCTGGAAATGCAGGGGGTTCGGAGATTATGTATGATTGCCAGGGGTTGTCTTTCCAAATGGACAGGATTGCTCACCCATCCACCAGTGGCACACAGTGAAAAAACGATCCCCCAAACTAAAGAGGGGAGTGGAACATGAAGACTTTGCGGGTGGGGGAGAGAGAGTTTGACGACCCCAAAACCATGACGCCGGAGCATGAAGGATCTGGAGAGGGAAGCTGTTGAAGAAGGATTCCTGCATTCAATTATTTTTTGTATTTGAAGCTTTGGTATGCTTTGGTCACATATCACACTGGTGACTTTACCATCTCCCAAGGACTGTGGAGACAGAGTTCTGTCCTTCGTAGCAGAAAGTGCAACCGGTGATGCTGTTAATGTCACCAGGGTGAAGGTTTGAGCCCAGTATAAAGCGGGAAGGTGAACTTCATCGAAGTCTTTGTGGGAAGTGCAAACGGGTTCGCCAAGCACCTTGAAGGAGACAGCCTACAAGAAACTGGGTGATCAGCTGTCCTGGGTGTAGGCAGGTCTGTTGGGTCCTACACCCCGCGGTCTGTTGGACACTTTGCCAGGTGTGTGATCAGCTGTCCTCCATCCCAGTAGCTCGACCTTCAAGGAGCGGGATGGCCGGACGGCTGCTTTTCTGGCCGCCGCGCGGCACCTCGGACAGCTGGCCCGGTATATGATGCATGACCAACAGTTCCAGGTCCTTTGGGGGAAGAACAAGACACATATATGCGGCTCATAGATTCCTTGGATTCAATACGATTCAATTGCGATTCAATAGGCCTGCTTAAGGCCACACACATGTCGGGTCGGCCATAAAATGCAGATCGTATGGATGGCCATCCTACTCCTGAAAAAAAGTAGAGGTCCCAGACCCAGAACACCCACACACTGAACAGAAGTCTAGGGTAGTCGAGCTGGATGATCTAGCTACTGGTGCAGGCGGAGGTCCGGGGATCAATCATCTCAGTGCCTTCCAGGATCCTAGGTTCCTGGAGTGAATCGGCTAGCTGGCAACGGAGCGTGCCCGTCGCCGGGCTTCCCAGAGCTTCCCTAGGGGATGGGCCTCACAAGGGCATGTTGGAAGATGTACAATGAATATGATGGAATCAACGAGTACGTATCTGATGATTTGTGGGCAGCTACCCGATCCATGGAGACTCTTTTGATGGAAGCAGAATGATCATATAACTAGTAAATAGATGTAAAACAATAGGACATGTACAGACAAAACTGCTAAGAGTGTCTGAGACAGGCATGCCGATCTTTCGCAGACAAAGGGCTCATCCTGTCGCCCGGTCAAGTGAGCAGTGCATTCGATCGGGTCCGAGACCACCAAAGACCCGCTTGTCCATTGGACACCCAGTGGGGTTGATGGATATTGATGGGTCTCCCTATATGAGATGCATGCACTTTTCAGGCTCCTTGTGCTTGAATTGCTTGTTCTTCCACAAAATCCTTCCAACTTCCACAAAACCCTTGGCCACACAAACCGCACCGCCCAGATCCGCGCAGATCTGCGCAACAAGCGCGCACACATCGCAGGCGATGATCGAAGAGCTGGAGCACCATGGCAGTTGTAAGGAGCGGGGCGGCGAGCCTTGGTGCGGGCACCCGGCCGGGAGCGAGCGCGATGTTATTTTTGTTTTTGTTTCCAGCCGAGGATGGATGGTTGAATTTGATGGGCATAGAATTGATGATCATAGAAAATTTCGTATATAAGTATATAAGTGAATGTAATTATTTGCATGATAGTATATGATATTAGTTCTGATATAGAATATAGATAATTATATATTATATATATATATTGAGATGAACATATTTTGTATAGTATTGTATTGCTATAGGTTATATATTGAGATCCTCCCAATCCCATTCTCCCCGCACCTCGACGCTTTCACACGAGTGGAGCCCAGCTCCGCTCCATCGTGCGGAGCGCTGGGCCAGGCACCGACATTGGTCAGCTGGGCCATGGCAGCCCAGACTACCACACCAGCGACTTGGACTCGAATCCACCTCGTGCGGCGCATGGACTCGAAGCTGGTCACCACCTGCCTGTGAATGATCGTGCCAGCAATCTACTTGCTTCCTTCCACTCTCCATACAGTATTTGTGAGATAGCTCATAGCTCTCAACAATGACTTTTGATGTTTTTGAACTAAACAGAAGTCTTCATTAAAAAAAGAACTAACCAACACCATTTGGCCTTTGTGAAATCGCACTTCCTGAAATGGTGACCCGCCAGTCTGCCGACTTGAAAACAACACGTACTCCATGGTGTCCATGGAGGACCGTGACTGCGTCAATGCTCGCTTCATCGGAATCTTCACCTGGCCCTCAAACACCAGAACCAAGATGGGGGACAAGACTCTTTGAGTTGCAAAGCGATTTGAAGCTCAGCAAAGAACATGTCCCATTAACTTAAAGTAATTACGAGTAATTACGGACGTACAACCACAAGCTGTACATAGAACTCGGACGTGTTTACAAGCTGTCCGACACTTGCCTGTGTAAACCAAGCTGAGCACGCGGAGCGAGCACGCCGCAACGCGGAGCACCTCTCGGCTCGAGCATTCCCAGGCCCAGCACCTCTTCGGAGATCCACCGGTCCACCAGCGGCTTGAGGCGGGGTCGACGGCTTGAGGGGGGGGGGATGGGAAGGAGCAGATGAATAGGTGTAGCTGGAACCCGTTGACGTTGGACCTCTGTTTTGGTAGGAAAGGATCCTATTTTGGGTGGTTGGTGGTCCGAAATAGAGGTCATTCAGGTTCTAGGTACGTGTCAGGCCATATATTTACCTACATTACGGGGGGTGGTTTTCGGATGTTTCATGGGTCAATTTAAGCATATCCTATTCCTTTCATAGATGGTTGGGGATTGGAGGTTTGCATTGACTTATCGCCAGAGTTCACAAGTTTCACAAGTGGGACATAGTGGGACCATTTCCGGTGCGCATGTGCTGTGACTTGGCAGAGTTGATGGCCTTTACAGCCAAGTATAGGACTTGGAATTTGCAGGTATTTGCTGGTTACGAACGCAGCATGTTCTCGCTGCCAGCATTTATGAATGTTCATTAAGGAACGAAAGGCCTAAAAACAAGGAGACAATGAGGATGAACAATCAATCAATAGCTTTATACCCTCCACCCACCCGACCGATGCGGTGCCTGCGGCAGGTACCGGCCGAACTCGTTAGATTCCATGGTCAGCCCGGGGGCCGAGGAGGGCGAGGCTGCCCAAGAAGGTGGCGAGGCGCTCAGGCCCGGTGCTTGGGGAGGGTGAAGTTTTGGAGCCTGCTTGGGGAAAGTACCAGGTGCGCAAGCGCTTGATCGCTTCATGAACACTCCAGAGTGGAGGCATCTAGCTTCACACATTTGGTCGTTGGCACTTTCAAACGGCACTTCATCTCATTCTTGATTGGACGTGCTGAGCCTCGTGTAGACGGCAAACCATCTAGGAAGCTGACCAGGGGCTTTAGTGAATCTGTTTCTCTAGCAAATAGCTACTGATAGCTTCTTGCAGTAGTAATGCACTTGTTACTAGTAGCGATGCACTTGTTACTACTAGCTTCTTGCAGAAGCAATTAATGGATGCCAAACATGTGTCCGCACATGATTAGATTGGTCCTAAACTCGGTTTCGGCTGATCTCTTCGCTTCCTTTGAGTGGACTTCTGCCGGAAACTGGCGGAGAATGCGGATTGACACTTTGCAAGCATGCTTACTTAGATGAAGCTCATCAGTTGGGGTTGTTGCGCTCAATCAATCAAACTAGCCTGCGCCCAAGGGCATCTATTCAACGAGGATGTCCTGCATCAGAACTTGCGAAGTTGCATCACTCTTGCAATGAGGAGCCCAATCTCTCGATGTGCCTGCCGTTGGATCAGGTGTCATGATGTTGGTCCTGTATATATAGTGACTAGAAACAAGGTGCAAGACATGTTTCATAAGGTTTCCGGAGAACTCATGCTTTTGTTGGGGATTAATTTTATACACATGGCCACCGGATTGGCCTTCCTGCCCTTCCCACAGCCAAACACTTTGCTGGCTGAGAAATGAATGCCATTTGGCACAGCAATCTCAGAGTGTCCAAGCGGACAAGGAAGTACTTACAAGCCCAAGGTTCTCCCTGCTTCCAACGGTCCAGATCGTCCCTTGCTGAACTGAACTGCCACAAATCGCTCGCTGACCGCTGGTGCTCTGACCCCATCTCTTTCAGCTGGTGCGACGGCTCAGGTGCCGAGCCATTGATTGGGAAACATGGCTGGAAGTCTCCGAAGGCACGTGCCGCTGTCCACTCGGTGCACCGAGAGAAACCCGGACGTGACGGTCCGGGTTTCTCTGCTGAGAGCCCGAACTCGGATCGAGTGGAGGGTTCGTTCCAGAGACTGTTTCAGTCATTGACTTGACTCTTGGAGATGGACTGGATGGGGGGGTTGATACATGTCAATACATCAACTGTCAACAGTACATCATGTTGGATCCTTAAAGGGTCCACAACGAAGGTATGACCTAGCTGGGCTCTTCGCCAGAGCAGCTGCACTATCAATAATTTTCTCCAGCTGGACTGTTTTCACGAGAGTTCTTTGTGATTCTCATCCCTCCAAAAGAGTGAATTGCAACCAATTATATAACTCTTTTTTCGCGTCAACCGTGTTTGCACGTAAGCTTTGTCCTTTCTCAAAACTTCACGATGTTAGGATCCATCGTTCCAAGGGATGCTTTGACAGCGAGCGATTTCTGACAGCGCAGACTGTTTGGAAGTCCCGGAAGGCGCTCAAGGTCCCGGGGTCATCCGTCCCTGGAGCCAAATTGGGGACTCGGTTCCGGCACTCCTCCACGGCTTCTGTAAACAAGTGCACCTTCACGAAAGAAGGTATCTATACAAAAACATGGTGCAAGCATGGGGTGATTGCGTTTCCCCGCAGCACACACACACAGAGAAATTACGTGTGTATATATATATAACTATATATAAGGTATACTGCCAGGTTTGACCACAAATGAACAATAATAACAATATTGAGTCACCGTAAAGTCCTGAACTCTTCCGGATGGTCATGACTCATGACTGATTCTTGTAAACCAAAGATGAGCACATGAAGATGATAAGCGGCAGAGTAAGTTCCCAGCCTCGAATGAGTGCAGAACAAATCTGGGTTCGTTTCGACCTCACTTGACAAGTGACTCCCCCTGTTCTTAACACGGACCGCACGCCCCCCCCAAGAACGCAGCAGGACTGACCGGACAGCACCGGGGTCGCTTCGCTTCGCCGATCGGTGTGGACCGTTCCCGTCGTTCCATGGTCTCGCGGAGGCGTGTACCGTGAGCCCCTTGCTGGCAGCGCATCCCATCTCCGTGACGACGCCGCTCGGTCGATGGGCCGGACGAGCATGGGGGGTCCTCCCCGTGGGGCGGAGTGGAGCGGAGCAGGGCTGAGGATCCGAAGAACGTGGAGGTGAATGGTGGATGTTTGACAAGGTGTTGACTGGTGCGACTTTCAAGCAAGGAATGAGGGTGGCTGCATCCGAATTGTACTGTATCTACAGTGGGGGAGGATGACACCCCTCATTCCCTACTCAGCCACTAAGCTATACAGTTTGATGGTATGAATGAACCTGGAATGAGTCTTCTCCGTGCCCGCCAAGCTGAACGCCAGGCGCTTCTGCTTTGCCGAACGCTTGGGCTATGCCGGGGTGTCTGGGCTCTCCTGGTTGGATGCAGCAGTGCAGGGGTGCCCCAGAGACGTTCTTCCAAGTGGATGCAGTAGTGCAGTGCTACCATCCTGGTGCAGTTGGATTCAGAAGTTGGGATGGTCCAGGATGGAATTGGTTCTTCCCAGACGTTCCAAAAAAACCCAGATGTTCCCTCAGAACCATAGGGATTTGAAGGCTCGGACCCCTGTATTCTTTTGAGGGTCCGGCCCTATATAAACTTAGGATGGTCCAGGATGGATTTGTTCTTGACAAGCTGAGTTACAACCAATCCTCTCAACTTGAGAAGACAGACCTGGAATGGGACCATCCATTGAGAGGTTCCCTAGCTGGACAACCCCACACTTCTTAGGGATCTCCTTTAGACAACCCATGGCCCACAGGAGGCGTGATGTCGTAGATAGGGGCCATTTCAGAGGGATGATGAACCATGATGAATCCGTGATTCATGATGAGTATGTGTGTACTTCTTAGTGGGGCTTGTTCCATTTGTGTACAGTATATGTGTGTGTTAATACCTCTCAGGTTTCTTTCTACATGGACTCTTGACAGACTGCAACGAAAAACGGACACCCACGTCTCGCGGGGCGAAGGGGAGAAGGTCTATGTCGACTTGTGGTTGTTAACGTGTCGCATGTTCATTGTGGTCCTCACCTATCCCGGAGACGACCGGAGGCCGAAACCTTTGCCACCTATACAGTGGATGTCCCTCACCTGGTGTTTTTTTTGTGTCGTCTCGATCCGGAAGTCCTCCCATGATGGGTCATGTTCTTCTTCATGTTCATGTCCATCTTCCAGCTCAACTGGGCGAGCAAAAATCCGTTTCCACCAGGAACTGCGCGGTGCCGTGTGTCTAAGTTCCAGTGATCTTGTAACCTGTTGCAGGAGTGAGGGGCTTCCCACTGACAACCTGAAAACCACCGAAGAAACATGAAGAAACCAAAAAGACTCAGAGACCACGCTGGACTAGTTCCGACTTCCAAGGCAGCCCGGCATGTCGTGAGGCCTTCCAAGGAGTTGGCGCTCTTGGAGCAGTCCTTACCGCAGATTTGCTTGCGCGTACAGGCCATTGATGTGCAGAACGTGTTGGATGGACGAATGGGCTTACAGTTGGGCTGCTTGAAAGATTTGCAAAATTAAAACAGGTGAGGGTACTTTGCCTTTAATGACATGCCAGATGCACATGAAGAGTCTTGGGCATGTACAACCCATGCGTCGCCACGATTGGACATCAAGTGACCCTCAGTACCATCTACTCTCGCATTTGTTTGCCATCGATCTCGCCGCGCCCTCTCGCCGCTGTGAAGAAGAAAACCAAGAAGAATCTAAGGGGGAGGGGCTGGGCTTTCGTTTGAACCGCCAGAGCCTGCACAGATTCTTCACCAAAACCCTATACAAACCTCAAATCATCTAAGAGGCATTCTTTTCATAAGAATTAGATGCCCGGCGCGGTCACCTCGCCAACTGCCCTTGGCATGCGCAAATGTTTCAATGCAGCATGCATTCTTGTCATGCCAGTTGAACTGAGTGTTCCCTACCTTTCGTCCACCCCCTCCCACTCAAGTCATAAGAGATCAATGTGAATTCTCCGCCATTCGCCTCGAACGCCGTTCCTCGAGGCCTGTCAGCTTTGTGGGCCCTTCACCGCCGGCCGCCTCTCCGCGTGCTTTGCCCGGGGCACCAGCGGAGCGGTGGAGCGGGTTGGCTGCGGTGGCTGCGGTGGCTGCGGAATGTGAAGCCTTGGTGGTTGATGTGATGTTTCTGAGGAATAGTCGGAATATGTCGGAATAGTGTTGGTTCTTTTTTAAAGGACGCTTCTTTTACTTTTCCAATACTTTTCCATCACAATGCCTGGGAATGGTCGCTCTCAGACTTTTTTGGGGAGGGGTTCTAATGTTTGAACACACGAAATCCGCCCGGAAGTCGACGCCCGAAATCCGCCGGGAAGTCGATGCTTGAGCATGCCAGCCGTTGAATGTGGAAGTGGATTGAGAAGCTCAAGACTGCCAACATGCATTTAGTTTATCTTAAATGACTTCTTCCTTAACCCTTAACCATGGTTGATTCCCTGTTAACCAGCATCTTGGCTTTTCATCTCCAGACGGGAACGCCTTCGAGTCGGACCAGCTGAATCGCGCGGTCGTGCGGCGGACACCACCGCCTGTCCGTACCGTTCGAGTCCGGCAGTGTGAGGAACTCACGACAGGACACAACAAACGAGGGGAACTCTTAAGAAGTTTGAGGACTCCATGCCACTTTGAGAAGTTACTGGAACAAATCCATGAAGCATCACATCGGTATATCGGTGGTTTCTTCCCGGGCCGCTGGGAAGAAGTCGGCCGAGTCGGCTGACCCGTCGATGAAAAAGCTCATGATTGCTTTGAATGATGTTCATTACTCTCTGAAATAGTCATGGAAGTGGAAAACGTTGTTTGTTTGTATGTTTTTCTCCATGACCATTTTCCATAACTTTGTTTATTGTTATATTTTGTTTGCAGAAGAGTGCACTGAGTGCACTTATCACATTGGAAGAAGATCCGATGTGGCTGACCTGTAGATTCTAAGATCTTCTTCCTCAAGTTGTCGTTTGAGCTTTGCCGGTGATGAGAAAGAGGCTGACTTGTTGACTTGCAGCCTCACAGGGGTAACCGAGCATCGTTGAGCTTGCGGCCGTCATGGAACTTCAGGACCTTCATCGGGCTTGGTTTGGGTACAGCCTATGGATCTCATGAGCCACTCACCGGAGCCACTCACCGTGGCAGTTTGATTGGCAAGAATTGAAGGGTGAGATTGGCAAGATTAATTACAGTATATAGATTCAATCAGGCTTTGAGGCTGACACCGATGGAGGATGGGGATGATGTGACTCTTCCCAATCACAATTTTCTCTTCAAGCCAGAGCATGAGCGTTCTGGAACACTGATTTTAGATTGACTGATTTAGAGATTGACAGATTTTCCCCAACACTGCCAGATCACGGTAGTTTACCATCCGGAAGGATTTGTCCAGAGCTGATGGGAGTTCTCTTTGGGCATGAAATTCCAAACTCGGCCGCATAGTACAACGAACAAGGCTTTTGGGAGGCCCAGTACTGTATTGGAAGAATTGAAGAAATATAATGAAACTATTATGAAACCATATTGCGTCCTTGGTCTTGAGCAATCCAACAATTTGGTTGAGTCACAATACAGTAGCCATACATAGTCTATATATGGGGTGGGCTGAAAAGGGGACTCGCTTTCTCTTGGAGTTGCCGATGGGTTGGTTTTGTGCCCCATGCATGAGTCTGAAGTGATGTCCATTATTTCCAACATGTCCCAAACAGTTGGAACCTATGGATGGCCATCTCCATGCGTGTTTCACCACGTTCTACCCCTATGTTGGGATTCGCTACGACCGCCCCTCCCGTCCGCCTGGAAAAACACACCGCTCGACCAAGGCCGCCGGGGATCGAACCCCTTGGCGCTGGTCCTATGACGTGCTTCTCAAGGCGCCGCTGCACGCCTTGCGCCAGCACCGTGCACCGTGCGCCTTGCGGCAGAAGATGGGCAAGCGACGGGGAAGGTGGGAACCGGAGAACCGGCGGAGACCAAGCGGAACGACGTGGTGGAACTGAAGCCGAGCAACTTCAGAATGGAACGTGCTCCGTGCGACTTGGGAAAGAGAGCTCCGTCGCTGTGGAAGTCGATCTTGTTTCAGGCCGGATTCTCTCCCCCCTCGGAGCATTTGCTGAGCTGCTGAGGTTCCCTTGAAGACTTGTGTTCTGATTTGGTGGAAGGGGAGCGACTACCAGAGCCTTGTTTCGTTCCCATGACGCTCGCGACGACCAGGCCTTCTTGGGGTGCCTCGTGCGGCAGCCTGGGCAGTGTGTGGAAGTGGATGAGGTTGAAATCTACAGGTGAAAAGGTAAGACAAAGATCCACCCCTATGGATCCACATACCTTCTCAGAAGGTATGTGGATCCATAGGGCACCATGTGTTTGTTTATTTGTTTTCATTTATTGACCATAATTGACCATGGAAATGACATGATTATGAAACATGTTGTGTTGAAGTGGATAATTGATGTTTATTTATTTATTTATTTATGTTGTTTGTTTTATATATCTGGTTGCTGATATTTCCACTGTCAGCTCCATATGGGGTTTGCCTTTATGGCATATCTGATATAGCGTATATCGACTTCACATTGCTGATGCAGAGATGTTGGACCATCAAGAGTAAATGTTCGGATGCATCCAATGCATATCCGGAATCGGGAATCCCTCTCTCAATCGGTGATGAGAACACCAGGCCATCAGGATCCATCAGGTTGTTTGGAGTGCAACACATTTGATCCTCTTGATTTGGATAATCCTTCACAGAAAGGTGTTACACCTAAGTGTTCAGGTGGTCCTGGGAGCATGTCATGTTTCAGAACATGAACCATTACACTTCCACAAACACACCAGATGAGTGTTTGTGGATGTTGGAGGAAATTTGTTCTCCAAGGGACCAGTTTCGATGTCCATGTTAGTGAATCAGAGGTCTTCCGTCCTCCGTCCGGGACGCCATTCCTCCATGTTTTCTGTGTTCCTTGGAGCCACAGAGCCCTTTCACCAGGTGACCTGGGCGCCAGAGGCGGTCGCTGGCAGGCGCACTGTTTGTTTGTGTTACTGCATGATAGTAATATGTATTCTTCGAGAGTCGTCGTCGGTGTGTAGATGTTGGAGAAAAGTCCTTGGAAGATCTGAGTGACCTTCCGGACCCATGATCTTCCGGTGGGTGAAACCACTGCTCTCGTTCGACGTGGAACATTGCCCTGGAGGTACCTTATTCTCTAGCTGAGCTGATACGACAGGACTTAGACCATCGGGGAAAGAACTGGGTTGTTCTGCCTGGTTCTATTCGGCATGTAAGGTGGGCTATTGGTGGCACACACTCGTACGTATTGCTTTAGGACTCAGGCTCCATGCACTCCGAGGGCAGACAGCAACACGTGCACGCTCTCGCCAGTGGTGTGAGTTTGGTACAGCCCGACACCTGGGAGATGCAGAGAACAGAAATGAATGGACATAGTGACATAGTAGTGGTGTTTCGTCCACTCCCCAGCAGGGTTCTTGTTGGAGAAAGAACTCCAGTACATGAAGCACAGTGCGGATCACTTCACCCGTGGGCTGTTTGTCACTCTCACCATCCAGGCCTGCCATGCAAGTGGCTTGGGTGGCCACTATGGTCCTCATCGCCATGAGCGTCGGGGCACCCGGTCCAGCCGCGTCCTGCGGGTCCTGTCCTCACTCCTCCATTTTGCCTGGAAATGGGAGGGACACGGCCTTTACCAGCACCCCCAAGGGGTGGTTAATGGACACCCCCAATCACAGCTAAGAGGCTATTAGTAGAGAGGGTCCTGGTAGTTTGGATTATACTGAATTATACTGCAAAATTCTATAAGACTTTTTTAAAAAGAAATTGCAGTCAACCATCCAACAGAGATCGCGGGTCAGTTTTTGTTGGTTTGGTGATGAACGTGTTGTTAGCTACGTGTCTATTTGGTTTCATGTCGAGACTTGACACAAAGTCAACATTAATGTCTCGACAGATTGAAGTTGTTCGCTATTTGTCGATGTGTTTGCTGTATGTACAGAAAGGAATGATCTCAGCAGAAATAATTGTTACTTCTGGTTATAAACAACTTCTTTGTTGGTGAACATGGTCTTGTCAGGGTTTTGTCAGCTTGTTGAAATAGAGTCTTCGCTGGTCACTCACAGATGGCCTCTTACTCGTGTTTTGGCCTATGTTGCATGGTCCACTCATGCTCTCTCTTGCACCCTCGGCTTGGGTCGAATGTGCTAGTCCTTGGACAGGTGTGATATTGCTCACACACCAGTCTTATTGAGGCACTTATACCGCTTAATCCATTATTGTTAGAGGATATTAGAGGGACGGTAGACACGTGATTCCTTCAACTGGCCCAACTTGTTTCAAAAGGACACTGGCCCAACATATTTGGCGGCCGACATCCAGACCAGGTGCCTTACAGCTGGCCTTATGTGCATCTCATCGACAATCTCACGGCCTTCCTGGGGGCTTTGGCACTGCCATGTGGCACTGCCTTCTACCTCTGGGGACACGAGGTGGGACTGTCCAACTCCAGCCAGCTTCGCGTCCTAAAAGTAGTGGAATCTTTTTCGTCAATGGGTGATTTTTGGGTTTCCGACCAGAGTGGATTTGGGGATCATGGTTTATCAGCGGCAGTGTTTGGGTGGACAATCCTTTAGCACACCATGTTCCGTTTTTTTGAGATAATGTGTACCCAGGGACAACATACTTATATATATATAGTTCTTGTGATTGCACTCTCTGGTAAAGTTGAGTTCCAGTTTTCGCCCATGTACTTGTACTTGTTGCGCTATAAGAACGACCAGCAGATGCATCACTAGAGTCTATATAGAGTAAGTAGATGCCAGAAGCCCATGTTGAGTAGATGGCTCAGCCTGGTATAGTTTATTGCGAAGGGACCTCCAAGGGAGAAACTCCAAGGGAAGTGGACACGTCGGCATGGTTTTTGCATCAATCTGACACCTGGCACAGTGAACTGATCTCAAAAGGCCTGGCATCGTTGGCCAGAGAGAAGATCACTGAGGTCTGTGGTTTGGGAGTAAGGGTTCCGTCCCGGTTTTTAGGGGTAGGTGGAGATGATTGGGAAAGCCAGATCATATGTAATTAAGTGTATTGGATAACTCCCCACAAATAAAACGTCCTGTATTTGTGTATATAGTAGAATTGTTCCGGGAGGAGGATCGGTATAGATAAGTTGAACAAGTTGTTTACCACAGCGCGTTTGCTGGATTCCAGTGCGATACATATATATATATATATATGTTTCGATAAAGTCGATGAGATTTTGGCTTATCTCTCAACATTCTATGGATTGCTACGTTGAGAGGTATATAAAAGTATGTTCTAGCTCAATCCCCACAATACAATTCTGTTCATTTTTGGAAAGTTGAAGGAACAGGTTTTGACGCCATGGTTGTGCTAACCTGCAAAGGACCCGTACATTATATAACTGACAATTTTAGGATGTCAGAAAACATGGGAGATGCTTTTTTTGTTGGGAGTGGTTAAAATCCTCTTTAGGGTGTCCTATAGTGCTCCAGAAAGATGCTCTTCATCTTGCACTGGCGCATACTGGCGCTCCAGCTCCCAATCTCCAAACTGGTCGCTTCCAAGGTCTTTCCAGCCTTCCAGTGTGGGACATCGTCCCCGGTCGTCCCCACGTACCGGGCGCGTCCCCGCGCAGTTGGACGCTGCGCAGTCTGCCATGGTGGTCACGCTACTACTGGGGTGAGGAGCCTCAATGGGAGATATGTGGATATATGATCCACACATGGCCAGGCAACAAAAAAGCGACTAACACTGTTTTGAGAGGTTCATCATCCTTATTCTGTGACACAACACAATGATAGCAAGACAATTCCTAGCAGCTAATTTGGATGATTGGGCTGCTTGTTTAGAATTATTCTGCACAAAACGGGACTGTGGCGACAGGACAAAAGGTTATTTGAACGGCGAAGCGTAGGGTGTATTGGATCGTCATTTCTTTGACTTGTCGTGTCGCGCAGACAGCGATTTGCATGGCTGCCAGGCTCCTCACTCCTGAGCGATTTGTGGCCCTTAGGAAGAGTGACGCGAAACAAGAGGAACGTCAGAGACGCCACGACTGCGATTCACGGCACACGCGCTGGCACACCGGTTCACGGACGTGCACCTAAGTGTTCATTGACGCGGAGGTGTGAAGAGCAGTGGCTGTGGAGCTTTCGAGAGCTGATCATGTTTGTTGAGGTGGGCGAACTCTGGCAACTCACGACTACTGGCCAGAAAGCATGGCCGTGGGGTGAGGCTTGCTCTTGCTGTGTGAGGAAGCCTCTCTCTTCTCCGGGATGGTCCTTACACCGGTATGAACTTCAGGAATGATTGATTCACCATGTGCAAATTTCCAGAAGCACGTTCCAGTTGGTTGCATCACACCCACCCAGTTCGTCCAAGATGAGGTGACGCTTCCAAGAGACTTGTAGTGCAGGCTAAGAGAGCTTTTGGAAAATCTTTTTGCTTTGTGTGCGATAGGTCTCTGAAAGAGCAACAAAAAACTTGTATATTCTCATGATCAAGTCTGACCTTTGGCTGGGCTGGTTGTTTGACGGCTCAAAGGCAGACAGGTGACAGTGGCTGGCGGGATGATCGAATCGTCGCCACACATGGGTCTTGTTCGCAGAAAAAAACATGTGCTGTTGGACCAAGCTCCTGTTCAGACCAAACCCGGTAATTATGGGGTTTCTCTTGGCTCTCTCAGGATCAGGATATATCATGATATATCAGTTTTTTCCTCCACGTGACACGAAAAGCAGGTAGAAATTGCAAACTGTGTGTATCCTTGAGAAGCGGGTACTTCACGCTACAATCCATGGCTCCCGGGCATAGGGCAGCTGTGTAACACCTTGTTCGTTCTACAAAGCATTGGAACTCTGCTCGTTTGTGAGAATTCTGGAGAGTTCCAGCGCATGACGAAATCCTCATCAAGTTTCGGTCAAAGGTATTTGATATGAGATATAGTTATTAAATGAAAAGAACTCCATATTACCGTATTATTGTATGTTAAACTATATCCGGAGACATGGCGGCTCCTGTCCCACTGGGACAGTCTGGCTACCACTTCTACAAAAACATATTACTGGTATATATATATATATTACTGGTATGTGGACAATATTTGAAAGAACATGGTCCTATGAACACAACGAAGTTGTGCATCACTCGCTCCTTTATCACCTTAGAACCTTAAGAATTTTGGGGTTGCTATGGGTCGTGTGAAACAAAAAACACCCGCACCCAATCTCACCTTCAAGGTTCTCACCTTGATCCCACACTGACCTTTTTGACTCCGCACATCAAAGGCTTTAAGGGCCAAAGCCGACCTACAAATTTTGAAGAACCGACCTAAAAAAATCCATGTCTTCGCAGTACATCTTGTTCGAATCTCGATTTCATGGAAATCCACACCGAGGTATTTGCCAGTCTTAGTCGCGCTGCTGGCCATGGGTTTCTCCTTGAGACCTTCAGGCCACGAGGCCAGCCATCCCGTTGACATCACATGGGCTTGTAGATGGTCGTCAAGAGGAAGACAATATTCTGGATACCAAACTGAGTTTGGTCCTAAGTATGTCCTATAGTGTATAAAGTGTAAGGTGTTGGTCACGACTATAGCAGTGTGTTTCGAGCGTTCATCACCAAATTAATTTTGTTGATGTTCCTGCCGAAGCAGGCTTCTCACCCGCAAATGACAATCAACAATCACAGGTGCTGCTTGATGATAATTTCGAGCTTTTGTAACGTCAGGTTGTCATCCTTGTTTAGACACACGCACAGAATTCACAACTTGTGCCAGATTCAACAGGCTTTATCACTGCGTCGCAGAATCTACGGGTGTGTCGACGAAGATCACACAACAGAAGCTGCTCTTGGAAGGAGGTTCCTCCACTGTGTCGCAGATTCTACTGATCAGCTCATCACTTCTGGCCCGCCTTCCGGACGAACGAGTGAATTGGGTAATCATACATGAACCGCTGATCACTGTGATGTTCACAGTAAGTACTGTATTGGCTTCAGAGACCATTCGAATCCATTCGACTAATCTTGAACTCAACCACCTGATGGTGCACTCTCTCACTGCTTTATTGAACTCATCAAACTTCTCCTTGTGAGATTCCTTGAAGGTAGCCAAACCGACGAGAAATAGCCGTCCCAATGTTTGCGGAGGCTTCTTAGAGGTGTGGCCCGTAAACAAATGGGCAGACAGTGGGTTCGACGACCTCAAGATCCAATACAGACTATCAAAGATCTATCAAGCATATCAAGAGTAGGTCAGGTCGTGGGTCAACGCCTAGACCGCCGGAGTCGGGGCGAAGCAGGTGTTCCATGTTCGATCCATTCCCACTTCAAAACCAGCTGTCCTCTTCCAAAACCTGCATGGTCGGGCTCCGCATGATTTCATGCGGCCCGTCTCCTCCGCGGTCGTCCCAGATGTCTCCGATGGACGTCAAGGGCTGGGGCGAGTTGTCGGGCAACAGGCGCGAGAGGACGAACCGCGAGTACCGAGTGGTCGGTACTGGGTGGAGATGAGACCTTTTTGCACTATATCAGATGAGCCCTTTTTTCGGGACTAGGAAGGTTTGCTGAAAACTTCGGTGTGGTGTTCCCAACATTTTTTTCAGGACACTGGAAGTATTGAATTGTTTAATAAGTACATGTTTGATCCATTTGCTGAAGCGCTTGTCATGTTTGCTTGTCGCACTAGTTCATTCGTGCTAGCTATTGCATGAGAAGAACAACATGAGTCGGGGTCCATTGATCATCATTGATCCTTTTCGGTCAGGTGTTGTTCTTTTGGCTGGTTCAAAACCAGAGCCGCAGGTCCTTCAACAAGAAACCGCTCTCAAACTCGATGCCAACGAGGAGAACTTGGAACAAAAAACCCTTGGAAGTCCAGCTGACCCATTGATTTGGTAAAGTTTTGCATAACGCTTTTGCTCCTGGAGACACACTGCTCAGGTTTGCCGGTGTTTCCGGATATGGGGGTCGTTGGTGGTGGTGGTGGCAATGGTAGTGCTATGTTCTTGTCTTGTGTTGATGTCCTTTCCTTGAGTTGTGTTGTCTTTGATGTTGTCTTGTTTGTTTGTTTGTTTTGGTCTCGTCTCGTCTTGTCTGGTCGGGTGGTTGGTTGGTTGTTTTCGTTTGTCTGTTTGTTTGTGTGTTTTGGTGTTGGCGATTGCTCGCTGTTGGCTTTTGTCCTATTTGTTGCTTGTTTGTTGTCAAACTGGTTTCTTTCTTAAGATGTTGCAATGTTTAAGCTTAGGTTTTGTGGGCTTAACAGATGAACCTGCGAGTCACTTTTGAGGGTACACCAACCTGTGCGATGCCGATATGCCGTGACATACCTACTTCTGCCTATTTCTTCCGAATTTTACCAACATGCAGCAGGGCCTCGTCCGCATCAGCTTGTGGCTGGGTCATTTATTATATTTCACGTTCAATTAAACTTGGCAGATCGAATGTTCACGGGTGGTGATCAGACTCCATTCTGAACCGTGTAGCGAGCAGAGGTACCAACAAACCTGTACCAATCTTGGACGTTCAGAAGCTTCAGTCAGAGTTTACTGCCAGAGAAGGTATGGCCGCGTACAGGTGAACCGTCAACTGGGACCATTAGAGTTTCAGAGAATAAGAGCAGTGTCCTCAGGAAATGGAAGCACTTATAGTCTTATAGTCAATAATTAGTCAATAGTCATTGGTAAATAGGGGAGGTTGATGCGGAACAATCAACCACACGACGTGCTTTATGGCTGTCTCGTACAAAGATTGTAGGTGTTGCCATGAATCCGATTCTGGTTGACGATAAACCACCTGAGCTGGTCTAATTTGTTGTTTCAACGCATACATATATGCTTGGTGCTTTGAGGAAATCTGATTGGACTAGTGACCTGTTGCGTACATGCTGTGGCCGATCCCACTATGGTACAGACAACACAGCTATTGAATAGCTGCTATTGCCTTGACAAAAAAATGATTTGGGAGCTGAAGCTGAACATCCAGATTGTTCCATACTTTCAGGCAGATTGAGAGAGAAGATGAAGGGTACCTTGAAGATTCAGATCCGAGGGTTGAACTGACAGTCGGATGGTTGCGTGGGAACCTTATATTTGTCGCAGGGCTTTGATTGGAGATGATATGAAAGTCAGTACACACCAGGCATTGGTGGCGATTGGCCTGGCAAAGGTCGAACGAAGCTGCAGGTCCCTGAATAACGAAAAGCACATCCAGGGCTGGAATCAGACAATGACGAGTCAGTGGACAGTGATAAAAGCTCAGAACAGAGGAGTTGGAAGGACTGAACATGGTATTTTGACACTATGCTGTTCTCGTGATCGCGAGTGGTTCCTACTGTATTCCATGAAAGTGAAGGCGGAAGGAATAGCTGCTATGAACGTTGGACTTGATGTGGTGATGCCTAAAGCATTGTTGAAGGCTCCAGATGCAATGGAAGGTGGGAGGTTCAGAGATTACATTACTATATTGCTCATTAGAACGAAAGAAGACGTGCCAACACAATTTGTCAAAGGCGCCAAGATCTTGATCATCACACTTGCAGATGATATGACAGCCGAGAGCCAATTGTGCTACACGGGGGACTACAAGTCCATTTGCGAGACACGTGCCATGTTTTAGAATTGGATTGAAGATGGTGTTTGAGCAAAATATCAGACACTTGAGAGGGTCATGATAAATCATTCCATGTGCGGATGCTGTATAATTGCTGAACAGGATGCATCAAAACAATCCCTTAGTGCTTGAGGCAAGTCTTGAAGAGGTGCGAGTGTGACCTTTTCCTGTTGACTTGAGCCGGAGTTTAGGCGTTTGGCCTCAGTGGTTTTCACATGCTTTCATCCTCTCCGCAGAAGAATTGAATCGAACATTTGGCCAGGTAGACGGGAAGAGGTCATGGAGATTCTATCACAGAAAAGCCTCCTTGTTCGCTGACCAGCTTCTTTCTCAGCCCCTAAACCGCCCAAATCCAGCTAAGACAACCTCTTGCTGGGAAAAAAATAGAACATGCTTTTGATGAATGGTTTGACAACCGCCCAAATTTGCACGTGTGTTTTCAGTTGAATCCGCAGCGCCTGCTTTGGTTTATGCATGTCTATGCTGTCACGAGGCTTGGCTACGAGCGCCTAAGCTTGGAGGAGGACGGGTGGGCTTGGGCACTCTTCGAGTCGGTCCTGGGCGTCGCCTCACGTCGCGTCGAGTGATGGGCGTCCCTGGCGTCGAATCTCCACTTGCCCAGGAGTATGGCCGAAGAACACGGAACTCAGGGGCGAAGACATGGGAATGTAGATCGACCAAGTCTTCGAAAAGGAGAAACTCGTTTCTGGGAATTTCTTGCCAATGACTGTGCTTCTTCAGCCAGAGATGCAGAGTGCAAAACTTGGTTTGTTAGACTTGAGATTGGCCCAACAACGATGCCCACCACGCGGGCATGAACCACCCGATGTTTGGGTTGCCCAGATTGAAGACGGGCAGAGACGATGTTGGGCGAATAAGATTCAAGTGTACTGGATGTGTTGTTTTTTCCACGCGGAGCATTGCGGAGCATGCAGGTCAGTGTTTGAAATGAAGAACTGCTTGAGAGAAGCATCACTCTGCCAGGAAGATCCTGTTGCAAAAGCATTTTGCAGAAAGGACATTTAGACTATGGTCAAGTCGAGGACTTCGTGGCTGTCAAAGCATGATTCTGAAGGGACGTCACTCTGCAGAAGCATCTTGCAGGTGCTGCAGCAGCGACCATTCGCAACCATTCGCAACCATTCATCCAGAATGGTGCTGTGCTCACAGTTGAAGAAATCAACCAAGCGAACCAAGTGGATCTTGGATAGATGCAAAGCTTGTTTGATGGATGGTCCACCTGAGCCAATCGCTTGCACCAATGCAGCTGAAGTCTGTGACGCCGGCTGAAGCACCAATCGCTTGCTCCGGATCGCGAGACCGACCAAAGGTATCCAGAGTCTTCCCCTTGCAAGCAGGTCCCAAGAGACCCAAGAGACTTGTGGGAAGAATTTGGGAAGACTTAGTGTCCGTGACGCAAGTTTGCAATGTACCCGGAGTTTGGATCTCGTCCTCCCCCGATCTATTCAAGAGATGTCAGGTGTCCTCAGTATTTAAGTTTTTCATTCAGACTATATAATATAATGTAATATTATATTATAGTGTTGTTTCCAGGTTCTGTTCTGTGTGGAATGTGGGATGATGCTTTGTTTTTGTTTGTTGGTTCATGTTGGTCGTCCCCATCACACTGTTGCTGCCAGTATTCCAAATGCAATGTACTCGTACATACATATTTATATTATATATATATCAGTCCCGTAGCAATTTGTGTTGAGACTGGTTGCACACGTATCGTACACGTTCAATATTCTTTAATCACCTTTATAAAGTCACCAATGAATAGATTCATGCTATGTCCTCCTTTCCACTCCACCCTTCACCGCCAAGAAGCGACTCCAAAGCATGCCTTTTCTCCATCATTGGTTGGTGCTTCAGGATAGCCCGGTGCATTTGAAGCAGCGGCCAGAGGTGCTCACAGTTGTGTCACGGGGGGGAGCTGCCTGAACGAGAATTGATGAGGCAAATGATGGCAAGTGTGGGTGTGTGGCTCAAATAGGGAGACCTCCAGGTAACGGGAAATAGACCAGTTTACCCAGCCAGGGACAGGGGGTCTCCCTGTTAATTACAATACACACCCATGTTCAGGATGAAGAGGATACAGACGAGGATGCTCTTGATGGCACTGCCATTGATGGTGATTGTGATGATTGATTAGTTAGGGGAGTTGTCCCTTTGTATTGTTTCATATCAACAGAGAACCGTGACACACCACATGGTGTTCTTCCACAATCTGACATATGATTAAGTATGTAGAATCTAGAAGTTGTGTGTTTCTTCTTAAGTGTTCTTTCTAATCCAGGAAGCGGTTCGTTGGTTTTGCAATCGCCCCGCCAAAAAAAGAACTTCCAAATCACCCAAATCCCCCTGGCGTTGCCTCAGGTTTGCCTCAGGCAGTTCTTTTGTTTGTCCAAGTCTAAGTGGCCATGAACACAGGAAGAAGACAGGAAGAACGGTGGATCACTGAATAGCCATATGATCACGACATGGCGGAACAAATCATCGTCGGACCCACGGCTCCTGAGATCGGTGGCCCTTCAGATCCTTCAGATCGTTCACGAGTCGAAAAGCGGTTCTTCGTTCACGCGGTTCTTCCGCCAAAAACGAGGTCGTCGAAGATGGAACTACCTTGACCCTCAAAGTAAACATGGTTTAAAGTTTAAAGGTGGTATACCTTGCACCAGTTTTACATAGTTTTACGACTGAGTCATGTCATGTGTCATGTCATGTGGGATTTTTCGAAAGGGAACCTTGGAGAATTTGGGGTTTGGGGGGTCTGTGGAAGACAATCATATGATGTGCTTTTTGCTTGTATGAACCATCCTCCACCAGTCACAGGTGCAAGATCCCTTGAGACGGACCGCCGATGCTCGGACGGCCGCAGGCGTTAGATATCCACCTGGCCGACGCGGTGCTTCTGCCACCGGAGAAGTCTGAGGTCCGATGGAAGCGCGGCATTCCAGTGGTGGGTGTTACAGTACACCGATTTACAGCACATGGAGGAAACGATAAACACAAGGGGCTGCACCAGGCCACCAGGCCAGGCAAGGAAGAAGAGTACGAAGAAAAGGACATGGTGGGGAGATGCAGAGTGCGAGGCGTCGCTGGGGGTGCTTGTGGTTGTGGTTGTAGAAGACAATGACAAACGACCCGTCTTACTGCTATTCTCCCCCAAAAGTCTCTAACAACACCAACAAAAAACACTACACCTGCTTCCCCCCTCCTGCCACTGAACACCCTGCTGCCCAACTGTTTGGCGTAAGCCCCTGAAATACCGAAGGTATAACCCCCACGGCGTAGGGCGTAGGGCCTGCGGCCGGGCAAGGGCCCGGCTAGCGCCTGCCGGCCCCCAAAGAGGTCGATGAATGAATTGTACAGGGTACAGTAGATCGACGCATCAGACGCGCTAGTGCCCCACAAGAGGTTCGCAGACAGACAGACAGACAGACAGACAGACCGACCGACCGACGGACAGACAGACAGACAGAGACATACAGACCGACCGACCGACCGACCGACAGAAAGACACAAAAAACACAAAGACACACACGCACACACTCACTTAGAATAGAGCGCAGATGAGCGCAAGTTCAGGTGATCTGCAGTAGCCCATTTAATATCATTTAATGCACTATACCAGTCTAGTGAAGGGCGACCTGAAAACCTGGAAACGAAACAAATGTCAGAAATGGCCGAGAACAACAGGTCGTGTACATCACCGCAGCAACTGAAGCAGGTAGTACGCGGATTGGCGTCCCGTGTTGTGTTGACGCGACCCTGGCAGGCTCGTCACACCGCACACATCCCGACTGACCGGAACGCTCGACACTTCGAAGCACCCGGGCAGAATGCACCCCAGCCCCATGGACCCTCCATAAACCATGTTTCCTCTGGCGCGTGCGCGTGGGGTCTTTCCGCTTCTTGAGGGCCCGCGCCTGAATCTAAAGATATCCAAAGGGCTTAAACGCAGGGGGAGTCGAACTCGGGCCACAACGCTTTCCCCCGAAACGAAATTTCGACGCCCAGCGACGAGTATATATATATATATATAGAAGTTAAGTGAACATATGTCAAATTTTAGCAATTCTTGTCAATGCAACAGATAAACGGCATCGTCCACAGCTCCCGCTCCGCTCACGCTCAGGTTCATCGTCATATACTTGGGTCGGCCAAACATCACCTATACATCCTGACCTTCTCTGGTCTTTTGTCACACGTTTCTTTCTTTCGAGGGCCCCTCCAAAAACGGAATATATCGGAATATTAAGAGCCGGTGACGTGGATGGACTAGAGTATATTATATAGAGTTTGATCAATGCGTGTCGTGACCGCCCATGTGGTTTAGATGCAAACATATGGACCCGATGATGGCCTGGTGGCTTTTTCGCGGCTTTGGTTGGTTGACCATTGGCGTTACCATATTGATCACTAGTCAGGGGATATCTCCCCAAGAAAACCCCAAAAACATGCATGTACGGTACATGATGGTAGGAGAAATCGACCCCCCTTCGAAAAAGAAAAAACCGCATCGGACGCCGACCTCATGTGCACCTCACCGGCGCCCCCTTCGCTCGCCCCTCTTCATCGGTTGAGAGGCGCCTCGGGCACATCTTCCTTGCGAGGTGCCAGCGGCGTCCAGCGGCGGGGAAGCGGATGGAAGCGGGAGTGGAGGATCTGGACTCGGGTGTCGGGTGTCGCGTGTCGCGTGTGATGTCAGCCGTTACCAACGAATCCGATGTTCGGTGGGCCACCAACAAGTGGGGGTCTGAAATAGGGCATGGAGGCTTCACAGTCTGGATGTTTGGTCTCTCGTCCTCTTCAATTTTTGGTAGTGGTTCCTGACTGTGCATGAATATTTTGCAGTTTGATTCGATCCAGAATTTCCAAGGCGCAGGCAGTGCATCAGCTGATGAGGTTGAAATATGGTTTTCAGACGAACAGTCGCGCTCTAAAGCAGTTCCTTCTAATCAGAATTCCCAAAACTACTTGGTTCTTTGCAGCAGCACGCCAGCATCGAATCTGAAACCATTTTCCATCCTACGCCCTGGTCCCAAAACATTTTGTTTATTTTTGTTTGCAGATGTCAGTAACGGATGCATGGCACAAGAAAAAAAACAATTTGTCTCCTTGGATAACCTTTTCAAAAACTCGGTCCATGCCACATTGTTGGGATACGAGTGATCAATTCCAGAGTGTTTTCGCACCAGTCATTCCAAACCCAAGCGCAGCCTATCAATTCGTTGGCTCCACAAGGTGAAGATCCCCTTGAGGCCCATGTCCGGTGGCCCAACATGGCCAATCAAGTGCCTCAGTGACTGACTGTTCGTTGGCCTCAGTGTTTGAGCTATACGGCTGAATGAATGCTGATCGGTGGGGTGGTCCAACCATCTAGTACTGCAGTATACAGAAAGGACAAAACCAGGTTTCGGCCGGGGAACAAGTACTTTCTTTAAACGCCTTTTTGTTTGATGTTTTAACGATTTGTTTCATGGTTTTGTGGGATTTCTGTTGGCTCTTGGTGACTTCTGCCGGCTTTTGTATGCTTTTGTGGTGTTCTTTTTTGCGTGGTTTATGGTGACTTTTGGCTGGCTTTCGTTGGGTTTCGGTGGCTTTTGTTGGCTTTTCGTGGCTTCGGGTGGATTTCAGTTGCTCTGGTTGGCTTTTGGTGGCTGTGGCTGGCTTTCATTGGCTTTTCGTGGCTTCTGGTGGCTTTCGTTATTTTCTGTCGGCTTTTCGTGGCTTTGGTGGCTTTTCTGAACACCCTGGGACTGCCATAGTTGCCAAACCATGGGGTGATTTGGTGGGTCAATGCAGGCGTATTTATAACTATATATATATTATATGTTCCATAAATGGAGTGTTTGGGTCATGGTGTTTCCTTTATTTGTTTGAAACGTCTGATGGTTCATCCATGTTCATCTGTTGCTTCTCGTTTCTACGACGTTCTTTTGGGCCATCCTCGAGGCTGAGTGAGATTTGGCGATGGTTTTCCAGAGGAAGGTGAAATCCGAAACAACTGAAGGGGTGCCACAAGAATATACCCCCCTCCAACAAACATGGAAGTGGACAATCCCCGGGTCATTTTCCATCATTTTCCACTTTGATTGTTTTTGGAGTGTTAATATATATAGATAAACTTTATAGATTATATACCTGAACCTTCCAACGTAGCAAGAATTCTTGCCCTACCCCTTGTTTGATACAGAAACCATGGACTCGTAGCAGAAACCTCACTTCGATACACTTTCTCACGGCCTCGAGCACTTTTATGCAATTCGAGCGTTTTTTAGTTTTGTAGCCATTTGGCTTGCCTGCTCCATTTTGAGCACCTGGAGTGGCCATCATCTCGTGCCCTTCTGGTGCACACAAGTTGATTTACTCTATATCTATCCTAAGAACAAAATGCTCATGGGCATGATGGATTCGCAACATGCTTCACAATGCTTTGAAGATTTAAGATGACTGATGATCATATAGGTTCAAACAAGCACCTCTGAAGGTACTCTACCGATGTTATGGATAAGTTCGCCACTTGCTTGAAGGCTCATCCGCCATGATTGACCATGATTGGTGTTACGTCGATCATGTGCTCTGGGCCTTGTGGGGGGCGAACCATACAGTGGGGTTTGGAGGGATGGCTTTGTCTTTTGGCCAGGTGTACCTGCCGGATTTCGATTGGGGCGAGGTGCGCTCAGCTGGAACATGTAGTGAAATCGGATGCAATTGAGCAGATTGAGCTATGCTAACAGTTGAGTGTGGTGTGTCAGCATTTGGCTTGTGATAAAGCTTGTGATCTGTCATTTGGTAGTCTGTGGCCATGTCACCAATCGTCGAAGAGTGGTCGAGCAGCACGGTTCTGATGAACCGTGGAATCCATGGCAGACTTGTGCTTGCAGACCCTGAGGCCAAAGGACTTAACAGAGCAGATGTGGTAGCAAACAGTGACGTGATCATTCCGGTGCTGAAATATGTAGGTGTGAGGACAACCATCGACCAGCTCTGTGTTTTTGTTGAGCACTTCTTCAGCTATGCTCGGCCCCGTGGAAAACCTCCAATTTCACGTTCTTTGGATGTATATGTTTGCTTAAATTTATTTTGAAACAGATATGTATATGTGATTGTATGGAAGTCATACTTCAAGATGCTTAAAGTTTAGCACTTGCTGCCTTGCCTCCTGAGGTTCTGTGGCCCGGCATGCTGCGTGGATGATCAGACGGCTGATCAGCATCTTTACGCGGAGTGCCAAGAGGGGGGCACTTCCCTAGGGAGAAGGCTATGAGAGAAATCTATCAAGCAGCGGGAATTGAACTTCCCCTCAGATCCAGTTACTGTGCCAAATTAGCTAATGCGGGTGCAATATTAAATCTCAGACTCAGACTGCAAAGACATTGTTTCTTGGGATCTTATCCCGTCCCTTCACATAATTTTAAGCTGCCCCCCAGGTTCACATTTGGATTCGGAGTCTGAAGAAGACGAAGGAGAAGAAAGTGAAAACACCACTGATGTATCTTGGATATATATGACCACTATATAATTGACTTGAGTTCCATGTTCCGCACACTTAGGATGAGGAAGTTGAGCCAGAGGTTGAGCTTACAGGCATGATTCATCATTCTTCAGTTTTGATGCTTTCTGAAACCAACCCGCTTGTGTCACTTACCGGGCAGGCAAACCATCCATCCCTGCATCTGCAGAGGCTCGTGTGGGCAGTGTGCCAGCCACACCAGAAACATCTCCAACCATTGTTACGCCACCTCCTTTAGGAGGAGCCTTTCTTGAGTGAATTTCAGAGAAGTGAATTGACATGGTTTCATGTTTTTACATATATTGGGAGATCGTGTTAGTTGTGCACACCATGTGCGCCAAGGAAAGCCAGTGCCTGAAGAGTTGCCAAGTTCTGAGAAGATTTATAGGCACTTCACGTTTCCGGTGAACAATGGTTTTGAGTGTAAAGATTGTGGAGTTTGGTCCCATGACTTGCTGTCGTTGGTGACCCAGCCCTGCTCTAGAGCGGGGGCGACTGGAAAGTGGATTGCCATTGGATCCTGCCTCTAAAGGCACCGAGCCCAAGCTTTCAGAACACCATCCCAAAGATGCTACCAACACCCCAGATGGTCCTGGTGTTTCCACAGGTGGGTCAAGTGACTCAGCTGTCATGTCCAACCCCAACTTGGGACATTGCAGTGCTGGGGAAGGTGCCTCAGTTTTGAAGGACCAGGTGTGTGCCCCAGAACAGCCAGAACCTGAAGATTCCGTTGAGGACATCGATAGGCTCCTGGCTGAGTGTGTTCTTGAGGAGGACAACTTGGCTTTGCAGCTAAAGGAATTTGATGAGTTAGAGTCTGAGCAGAAGGAACTGGATGAACAATTGCGTCAATTGGAAATCGTCGAGCAGGATCGCAGGTCGTTGATCAATTCGACTGTGCCCGCATGCAGTCACACGGCCCCTAGCAGTAGCTTGGTGAGACATCCATGTGATGCACAATGTAATCCATATGTGTGTATGTTTTACAAGTTTTCTTGGATGTGCATGATGATCATTTGTTGCTCATCGAAAATCAGGCATCAACGTGGACACCATGTCGACTTTGCCGATGGATTCCCAGTTCATGCATACCATTCCGGAGGACATGCCTGTGCTGTGATGTCTACCCTTTTTGCTCCACAAGCTGAAGCTTAATTAGATTTAAGCTTGATTTCCAGGAGCCAGCCCCACTATCACCTTCGAAGCCAAAGACTTTCAGGGAGTTGTGTGGCCTTGACCAGACTAAGACATTGGATGGCTTTGATCATGGTCAGGGCGATGTCGCTCCTGTGAAGGAGCAGATGGTTGGATCTGACCAGCATCCTGAAGCTTTGGTGCCAAAGTCCGTGGTGCCTTCACATGAGATGAATCCCAAGTCCGACAAAGGTCAGGAAGATCCCAAGCCAAAGGCTTCATCCCAGGAGTTGATGGCCCCAAAGATTGAGAAGATGTGTGACCAGTCTGACAAGTTGGACACTGGTTTGACTGAGGAGTTCTCTAATTTGAGCCTGGCTGATCCAGCTCAAAAGCCCGCTTTGGAGTCTCAGCCTTGTGATGTGACAGGTGGGGGGGGGAGACTTCTTCTTCAAAGCCCGACAATGTTCAGGAAGAGTTGACCAATCTGGCTAAACAGTCAGAGCAGGTGGTTGCTGCAGATATTGAGGAAGCAGCATGTCTACGGTCAAAGTTCTATCCTACTGAGTCGCCACCACTGGTTCTGGAACATGTGAAGCATGTCTCTCCAGAAGAGCAAACCAAGGCAACAGCAAAGCCAAAAGCGAAAGCCAAAGCCAACGGACGTGGGCGTGGGCGTGGTGCAAAAGCAAAAGGGCGTGGCCGTGGCAGGGGCTCCAAGGCCTCTAAAGCCAAGTCTGGAGATCATGAGTCTCAAGATGAGGAGTCTCGAGATGAGGAGTCTCAAGATGAGGAGTCAGAAGAGGAAGAGGTGGACGAAGATCAGGTTGAAGAGGAAAAGGTGGAGGATGCCAAGTGTAAGAAGCCTTCGAAAGCGAAGAAAGGGACTCCAAAGGCAAAGGCCAAGTCTGCTGCATCCCGCAAAAGGAAAGGTGAAGACATGGATGCAAATGCATCAACAGTCAAGAAGAGCCAGAAAAGCAAAGGCAAGAAGCCTGAGGGCAAGAAAGATGAGGACACAGAGAAGCCTCGCTCGCGGAAAGCAAAGGACCAGAATGCAAAGGCAAATGTCGCCGATGAAAAGGGCAAAGAAGAGAAATCTACCAAGAGCGGGAAGCGCAAAGCTGAGGTGGATGAAGACCCTGAGAAGCTTGCAGCCCGCAAGAAGGCATCCCGCAAGAGTAGTGCCTATCATGTGGCGATGAGATCTGCGCTCCAATCTGGCCTGTCTGAGAGTGAGGCAAAGGTGAAGGCAAAAGAGGCTTCTAAGTTGAAGTTAAATTCAGTATACACACAAGCATTCTCAAAACACATGATTTGTGGAAACATTTTCTGATACACCCGAGGCTTACAGAAGCACGGAGTGATGAACTGGGCTATCTGTCTCGATGTTTTGGGATATTTGAGTTGGCTGAAAGCCAATGATGGGGTTTAGTTTAGAAGCATGTGTAGGCTTTGTCTCAGATTGGCTGCACAGCAGCGCCAGTCAGTAGCGGCTTTCGAACATATGCAGTGGGGGTGAAACACCATGCCCGAAGCAGTGTGATCACGAACCAGGCATCATTTGTCATTTTAGATTGCATGCAGCAACTTTAAATTGGTTCAGGTACAATGCCC